GAGGACTGGACCTGGTACGCCACTGGGCCCGGGGTGGGCATCCAGCTGCGCGGCACCGGGCGCCTCGTGGCCCCGTGCGACCACGTCGTGACGCGGAGGCGGGCGGCCTGGCCCGCCCGCGTGGAGCTGCACAGCCACGTGCTCCTCAGCGACGACGGCGGGGACACCTGGCAGGTCTCCGCCTCCGCCTCCGCCTCCGAAAGCCGCGAGCGACTCCCGGGCCTTCACGACGAACCCAGGTCAGCCTCATCCATTGCCCCCACACCCCAAAACAAGTCAATGAACACACGAACGAAGACACACGGAGATGGATGTTGACAAAACGATTTCAGAAACACAGAGATGGATGTGGGAAGGATGAGTTTTCAGACGAGCGGCCACGAGGAGGCCTGTGCACCTGCTCGTCCTGGCAGGTCTCTGCGGGCAAGACTCGTGCCCATCTTCCGCCACCAAAAAGAAAAACTTCGGAGCAGGAAGAGGTGCCCATGCCGCTACCCTTCCCTCACGGTCCCCTATTTGGGCCTCCTGGGAGGGGCCCTCGTCGCCGCCGCTGGATTCGCCTCGACATCCTGGTCAGAACGCACCCCGGGAGGGGTCCAGGGAATAGCGGCATCGGTACCTACTCGTCTCCCGAATATATGTACACAGACACCCTCCACTGGATTGTTCCTGGGCCTCTGGGAGCCAGCGACTTTGTACACAGTCCCATCCCTGAAGGTACATGTCAAGGTCGTCGGAGTGGGTCTGTGTATATGTATATATATATATATACACACCCGTTGTGTACATATCCACTGCAGCTTGGAGTTCCTGGCCCTCTTCGCCACGAGCCCGAGGCGCACTGGACATGGATAAAGATCTGGCCCCGATTCTTATCCGTGTCCAGTGCACCTCGGCTTTGTGGCGCCGCTTCCAAGAAAGTCCAAAACGCATTGAATATGGGGGTAAAGATTACCCGCAGGCTCGAAGAAGAAAGCGGCCTGCACAGACGTAAGCTTCTTAGAGGAGGACGAGTTTCCGATTGGACTTCAGGAAGCCATTCAGGACACCCCCGAGTTTATCATTAGCGCAGCACCGTAATTAAATAATTCTGGGGGGGCGGTTTTCGCCGAACGACATGATTAGCACCGCGCAAATGGAACGAACATCAATAATTCTCGCGCCCCGGTTCGGGCGGTATTCCAATTGGAATTGTAATCAGATTTATCTTGGCGAAAGACACAAACATATGAAGTTGTGGGTACCGCAATTGTGAATATCTTCTTCGGTGAAGCTCCCTATGGGGCCACGAAGCGCTGCGCTGGGCGGGGGGGAACGCATGCGGGCGGTAGCACTGGGGCCGTCGGTGAAGTTCCCTATGAGGCCACGAAACGCTGCACTGGGTGAGTGAAAATACCGAATTAGGCGTGTGGGACGCATGCGGGCGGTCCCATTGGGGGCTTCGGTGGAGCTCCCCATGGGGCCGCGAAGCGTTGTTAAGGGTGCGTGAAAATGCCAAATTGGGTGTGGGGGGGACGCATGCGGTCCCACTGGAGGCTTCGGTGGAGCTCCATGTGGGGGACGCATGCGGGCGGTCCCACTGGGGTCTTCGGTGGAGCTCCCTATGGGGCCACGAAACGTTGTACTGGGCGGGCGAAAATGCCAAGTTGGGCATGGTGGACGCACGCGTGCTGTCCCATTGGGGGCTTCGGTGGGGCTCCCTATTGGGCCACGGAGCGCTGTACTGGGTGGGTGACATTGCCAAATCGGGTGTGGGGGACGCATGAGGACGGTCCCACTGGGGGTTCGGTGGGGCCCCCTATGGGGCCACGAAGCGCTGTACTGGGTGGGTGACAATGCCAAGCTGGGTGTGGGGGACGCAAGCGGGCGGTCCCACTGGGGGCTCCGGTGGGGTTCCCTATTGGGCCACGAAGCGCTGTGCTGGGTGGGTGATCATGCCAACTTGGATGCGGGGGACGCATGTGGGCGGTCCCACTGGAAGCTTCGGTGGAGTTCCTTATGAGGTCACGAAACGCTGTGCTGGGTGGGTGACAATGCCAAGTTGGGTGTGGGGGACGCATGCGGGCGGTCCCACGGGGCTTCGGTGGAGCTCCCGATGGGGCCACGAAGCGCTGCATTGGGCGGACGAAAATGCCAAATTGGGCATGGTGGGCGCACGCGGGCGGTCGCATTGGGGGCGTCGGTGGAGTTCCTTGTGTGGCCACGGAGCGCTGTACTGGGTGGGTGACATTGCCAAATCGGGTGTGATGGACGCATGCTGGCGGCCGCGCTGGTGGCTTCGGTGGGGTTCCCTATGGTGCCACGAAGCGCTGTCCTGGGTGGGTGACAATGCCAAGTTGGGCGTGGGGGACGCATGCGGGCGGTCCCATTGGAGGTTTCGGTGGGGCTCCCTATTGGGCCACGAAGCGCTGTATTGGGTGGGTGAGAATGCCAAATTGGGTGTGGGGGACGCATGTGGGCGGTCCCACTGGGGGTTTCGGTGGAGCTCCCTGTGGGGTCGCGAAGCGCTGTACTGGGTGGGTGAAACTGCCAAATTGAGCGTGGGAGGCGCATGCGGGCGGTCCCACTGGGGGCTTCGGTGGAGCTCCTTATGGGGCCACGAAACGTTGTGCTGGGTGGGTGAAGCTGCCAAATTGAGTGTGGGCGGCGGTCCCACTGGGGGCTTCGGTGGAGCTCCCTATGGGGCCACGAAGCGCTGTATTGGGTGGGCAAAAAATACCAAATTGGGTGTGTGGGGGACGCGTGCGGGCGGTCCCACTGGGGGGTTCGGTGGAGCTCCCTATGGGGCAACGAAACGCTGTACTGGGTATGTGAAAATGCGAAAGTGGGTGTGAGGGACGCATGCGGGCGGTCCCACTGGGGGGTTCGGTGGAGCTCCCGATGGGGCCACGAAGCGTGTGAGGGTGTGCCAAATTGGGTGTGGGGGACGCATGCGGGCGGTGGCACTAGGGCCTTCGGTGGAGCTCGCTATGGGGCCACGAAGCGTGTGATGGGTGTGCCAAATTGGGTGTGGGGGACGCATGCCGGCGGTGGAGAGGGGGAGGGGGAGGAACAGGAGATGAGGACAGGAACGCGGGGACCGTCTTTTCAAAACGAGGACCCAACACCACAGGATGGTTGGGAAATACAACAACAATAATGATAATGATAAGAGTAAGCGTAATAATAATACGAATATTGAAAGTAAGCATAAGAGTACTACTACGAATACGACTACGAGTAATAATACTAGTAATACTGCTAATGCAAATAGCAATAATAATCAGCAATAAGAGCCAGAGTTGTTTCTCATTACCTGCAGCATCCTTGTCCTATACGAGTTGTATTACAACCCCTGTTGAAACATTGGTATTCCCCGGCCGTCGTGTGGGGTAGTGTATCCGAGGATACCGCCCCCGCCACGCACGGCGCGTTATCTTAGCACCGCGCCCGCGCAAAATAATTACGACAGTTTTCTCCAACAAAGACAAGCAGTACAATCAGACCACGAATTGTACCAATACTACACAGAAGAATCATAGTGAGGATCATAATAATAAGAATACTAAGACTACGAATCAGAGTAAGGGTAATAATAATAAACATCCGAAAACCGACGGGCTCCCCTGCCTCTTTCCTCCCTCCGTTTTCTCATGTTCTTCATCATCTTTGCCCTATACGATTATTATTACCACCCCTATTGAAACATTGTTTTTCTTGGCCGTCGTGTGGGGTAGTGCATCCGAGGATATCGCTCCCGCCACGCACGGCGCGTCATCTTAGCACCCGCACCGCCAAAATGATTCGCCCCCCCTCGTAGGCACGGGCGGTTCCTTTTCAAAGTTGGGCTCTCCCTTGCGTGGGACTTAATGTTGTTATTGTTGGTGTTGGCGGTGTTGTTGGTGTTTTGATGTTGATGTTCTCCAGTTCTCGCCACTCCAGTTCTCGCCCAGACCGAGCACCTGACGCAGACTCGTCTGCGTCCAGAGCAGTTTCAGAGGATGTCTCAGGCGAGGCGCTTGTTTCAGAACCACAAGGAGACCATATTGCGAGAATGTCTCAGGCGGTTTGCTTGTTTCGGCGAGCAGACTCGTCTGCGTTTACATAAGGTGCGAGGTGCCAGGGTAACGCTTCTGGGGTGCCGGGTGCGTCATGTTTAATGGCTTCCTGAGGTGTAAAGATTGCCCGCAGTCTCGAAGGGAGGACGAGGTTCCGATTCTGCTACCCTGGCCCTCCTCCTGGAAGACCCCAGTCGCCGCCGCTGGATTCGCATCGAAATTCTGGTGGTCAGAACTGCCCAGGGTTTTTCGACGGCCCGCGCGGATTCTTTGGAATTGCGCCGCCTTTGGCGCACTCGGCGCCAGGGAGAGGGGGACCAGCGCAGATTCAAGCAAGTCGATGTTTCTGCAGTTGTTTGTTCCTCCAAGGTCAGCGCGGTCGCGGCCGAGGGCACCAACGAGTGCCAATTGGTCGAGCTCAGCGGGGGCCCTATGATCGGCCGTGGAAGTTCTGCAGTTTTTGGCTGCCGGTTCTGGCGCCGTTTCTTCCCGGTACCGTCGCAGGTTTTGTTCCGGTTCCGTCCAGCTTCAACCTCAGAGCCGTCATCTTCCCGGGTTCCGACGGCAGTTCTTCTGCCGTTCACGTGGTGGAAACACGGTCAACCAAAAATCAGTGCCGCTTCCAGGGCCCACTGAGGCGGCGGCCGCCTCCTCCTCAGTTCGGGGGTTGCCAAAGGTGCCCCATGGCCAAGGCACCCCCAGCTTTGTTTTGCGCTCCATCTTGAAGCTCCTGGGGCCCTGTGGGCCTCGTAAGGGGTGCTCTGGAGGCATTGGGGGGCCTTGGATCGGGCGGGGCTCTGTTCCAGAGCGTTCCGGGACGCTCTGCGAGCATTCCGGAGCGCTCTGAGAAGGCTGCGGCGCCCGAGACATGTTCCAGAGCCGCCTGCTCTCAGAGATTCTCGATCTATCCTCACCCGATGTGTTCCTTGGGCTTGGGGGCACCTCTGGCAGCACCCGGTCGGCATGCGCGATTTCAGCGGCCGCTGCCTGCGGCGGTTCGCGAGCTCGGGCAACGGGGGGCGGACGTGGCAGGAGCACAGCGACGCTGCGGAGCTGAGCGAGCCGCAGCCGGGCGGCTGCCAGGCCTCGCTGCTGCGGGTACACGCGGGCGCGCCGTCGCCGCGGCGGGGAGCTGGCGTGCAGGAGCAGAAGGAGCTGGTCGTCAGTATCGTTGAACCGAAGAGCACAAAGCTGCACAAACATGATGATGATGATGATGATGATGATGATGATGATGATGATGATGATGATGATGATGATGATGATGATGATGATGCTGATGCTGATGCTGATGCTGATGCTGATGCTGATGCTGATGCTGATGCTGATGCTGATGCTGATGATGATGATGATGATGATGATGATGATGATGATGATGATGATGATGATGCTGATGCTGCCGATGCTGATGCTGATGCTCATGCTGATGCTGATGCTGATGCTGATGCTGATGCTGATGCTGATGCTGATGCTGCTGCTGATGATGATGAGGAGGAGGAGGAGGAGGAGGATGAGGAGGAGGAGGATGAGGAGGAGGAGAAAACGAGAGTATGATGAGGAGGAGGAGTAGGAGGAGGACGAGGACGAGGAGGAGGATAGGGGAACTATAATCGGCATCAGCAGGAACTTTTGGAGCTAAGCGCGGACTTCTTGCCCTGGCGGCGCCGCCCTTCGCGCGCTCCACGCGCCAGAGAGGGGTTCCAGCGCTGATCCAAGAAATTCTCGTGGAATTCCAGAAGTTCATGTCTATGACAGTTATTGTTCTTCCGATCTCAGCCCCACCATCCGACCACCCCAGTTGGGACAGGCCCTTCACAATTCGAAGGGAACAGCACCTACATATCTATATATATATATATATACACATATCCGTGAGGGCTTCGCCCCCTGCCGCCGGCCCCCTCTCTCGGAGAATGGGCCATGGAAGAGCTAAGTCATGAGGCTTTGGCGCTGTCGTGCAGCAGTATCGGAACTTCATGCGAGGCCGATTCGCAATCGGCAAAACCAACTGATCACAAGAGGGGTTACCACACAGGGCGATTGGTAAGACGTGTATGGTTTACGAGCTTGGTTACCACACCTTGGGATTAAAGGGCCGAGGGAGTACTCGCAGTTTGGGTTACCACGCCTTGCGATGGATGTGCGTGAGGGGTGGCACCGAATTTCAGAAATGTGGCAAATCCCCTGTGTTTTTGGACCCTGACCCCGCGGATCTGCGTGAGGGGTGGCACCGAATTTCAGAAATGTGGCAAATCCCATGTGTTTTTGGACCCTGACCCCGCGGATCTGCGTGAGGGGTGGCACCGAATTTCAGAAATGTGGCAAATCCCCTGTGTTTTTGGACCCTGACCCCGCGGATCTGCGTGAGGGGTGGCACCGAATTTCAGAAATGTGCAAATCCCCTGTGTTTTTGGACCCTGACCCCGCGGATCTGCGTGAGGGGTGGCACCGAATTTCAGAAATGTGGCAAATCCCTTGTGTTTTTGGACCCTGACCCCGCGGATCTGCGTGAGGGGTGGCACCGAATTTCAGAAATGTGGCAAATCCCATGTGTTTTTGGACCCTGACCCCGCGGATCTGCGTGAGGGGTGGCACCGAATTTCAGAAATGTGGCAAATCCCATGTGTTTTTGGACCCTGACCCCGCGGATCTGCGTGAGGGGTGGCACCGAATTTCAGAAATGTGGCAAATCCCATGTGTTTTTGGACCCTGACCCCGCGGATCTGCGTGAGGGGTGTCGATTTCGAGCCCCCCCAGCAATTCAGACAACGCGCCCAGGGGGTGCTAAAAAGCCGGTTTGGGCCTCCCCCCCCTCGCGCGGTCAATCAATTAGTTACAGTAACCAGCAATAAGTCAACTAGTTACAGTAACCAGCAAGAAGCAGAACTGTAACACTGGAAACTACAACCTACGACTGGTGCAGGAAACTGCGAATCACGGGCCTACAGCCTGGTGGCCCCACAAGGGGGCCGGCGGATATATACACACACACACGACAGAGCGCGTTCTGCGGTCGCTTGGAGGGGGGGGGGTGAAACCCGACCCCCCCCCTTGGATGGAGGGGGGGGTTCGAACCCCCCCCCCCCCTTGACGGCTTGACGGAGGGTGGGGGGGGTCCGATCCTCCCCCCACCCCCCTTCCTCTCCTCCCTTGCTTTCCCTCTCTTCGGGCCGGCGCTTGCGTCGGCGGCGGCGACGGCGGCGGGGACGACGATTTCCATTTCTGGGCTGGCGCCGGCGCCTGCGGCGGCGGGCGGCGGTGGCGGGGAGCGTCGACGAGGACGACGATGGTGGTGGTGATGGTGGTGGGTTGTGGTGGTGGTGGTGGCGGCGGTGGTGGTTGTGGTGGTGGTGGTGGTGTGGTGGTTTGTTGTGGTGGTGGTGGTTGTTGCGGTGGGTGGTGGTGATGGTGGTGGTGGTGGTGGTGGTCGTTTGGTGGTGGTGTGGTGGTGGTTTGTGGTGGTGGTGGTGGTGGTGGTGGTGGGTTGTTGTGGTGGTGGTGGTGGTTTGGTGATGGTGTGGTGGTGGTTGTTGGTGGTGGTGGTGGTGGGTTGTGGTTGTGGCGGTGGTTTGTGGAGGTGGTGCGGTGGTTTGTGGTGGTGACGGTTGGTTGTGCTGCTGGTAGTGGTGGTGGTTGTGGCGGTGGTGGTGGTGTGGTAGGTTGTGGTTGTGGTGGTGGTCGTAGTGGTGGGTTTTTGTGGTGGTGGTGGTGATGGTGAGTTGTGGTGGTGCTTGTGGTGGTGGTGGCTGTGGTGGTGGTGGTGGTTGTGTGTGGCTGTTGGTGTTGGTTGTGGTGGTGGGTTGAGGCGGTGGTGTTGGTGGTATTGGTGGTGGTGGTGGTGGTGGTAGTGGTGGTAAGTGTCGCTGCGTCCCTGCCGTCGCCAGATCCAGCGCCGGCGATGCTGGCCGCCGCCAGCGCCGGCGACGGCGCGAGGGGGGGGTGTTTGAAACCCCTCTCCCCCCCCGGCGCCAAAGGGGGGGGGGTTGAACCCTCCCCGCCCCCCCCCCTTGGGCTGCCTCTGGTCATCATCGCTGGGTCCCCGCCGTGGGCGCTGCTGGCGGCCGCCAGCGCAGGCGCCAGCGCCGAAGGGGGGGGGTTTGAACCCCCCACCCCCTTCCTTGGAAGGGGGGAGGGGTTCGGGAGGGGGGGGTTTGGGGGGGGGTCCCCCTGGTTTTGATCGACGGCGCCGAGTGTTGGGAGGGGGGCCCACCCCCCGGTTCGAAACGCGCCGCCGATTGTTCCCCAGGCAAGCGCCCGTGAAACACGTTTTCTCATACATACATACATACATACACATACACATACACATACACATACACATACACATACACATACGCATACGCATACGCATACACATACATACAGACAGGCAGACTGACTGACACCAAACAGATGTACATACATAACTACACATACATACATACCTACAGACAGACAGACAGACAGACAGAAAGACATGCGTACATACCTACATGCATGCATACACACACAGACAAACATACATGCATGCAGACATACACATATGTACATGCATTCATGCATGCATATATACATACATGCATACACGTATACACATAGCCACACACATACATATACACCTGCATCCGTACATACGCATACCTACAACCCCACATATATACACACACGTACATACATATACACATACATACGTGTATATATACATACATGCATGCTTGCTCACATACATACATACATACATACATACATACATACATACATACATACATGCATGCATACATGCATGCATGCATGCATACATACATACATACATAACCACATACATGCATACACACACAATTGCATACATGCGTGCATACATACAATCGTACTTACGTGCGTGCATGCATGTATGCATACATACCTGCGTGCATACATCTATACATACATACATGCATGCATGCATGCACACATACATACATACATACATACAAGGCTACGTACACATATCCCTGCTTTTATATATCTATATCTACGTATGTGTATATATATGTATGTATGTCTATATATATATATATATATCCCAATCTAGGGGGTGAGGGTGGATAGTCGTCGTTTTCTTCTTCGTTGTTTTGCCGATCGACGTGGGCCCTCGCATCCCACCTCCCCCCCCCCTAGGGAGCAGATGTTGGTTGTTTTTGGTGCCTATTTCGGGCAGGTGGAGTCTCCTCCATGAGTCGCACTGCGCCAATCCGTCGCATGAAGCAGAGGTCAAGAGCCAGACCCCCCCCCTGCCCCCCTTCCGCCAATAGTCGGAACGCCGAACAAGAAGACGTTGACAAAGGGATCGGTTCAACGATGCGCAGGTCGTGCACTGCGGCCCCGCGGCAGCGGACGGGAGCCGTGCGGATCTCGTCCTGCGGGTCTCCAGCGACGGCGGCCTGACGTGGCCGCGCGCGGTGGCGCTGCTCCCCGAGCGCCCGGGCGCCTACTCCTGCATGGCCCTGCTGCCCGGGCCCTCGGAGGAGGGAAAGGTACCCATACCTCTACCCTCCCCTCGGTTTCCCCTTTGGGGGCCTCCTGGGCCTCCTTCGTCGCCACCGCTGCATTCGCCTCGAGGTCTTGGCCAGAGCTTGGAGAGCGAATGTGGGGTGGTGGGGCGCAGGGTCCTGGCAGTGGTGGCTCTGTGGGCCATGCCTGCGCGACACGTCCTCGACGGCTGTGCTCGGCGGGGGAACTGAGTGAGGTCCCCGCCTGCACCCCTGCGCGAGACTCGAGGGTCACGAAGCAGGGCGGCGGGGGTCCGGGGAGTGGCGGCATTGGTACCTGGTTTCCCCAGGCCCGCCGGCTCGGGGGACAGCTGCATTTGGGCGGCGAGCGCGCGGGGAGGGAGGGAGACGAGCTCAGCGGGCGGCGGGCCCCTTCTCTCGGGCGATCGCACGCATGGACCAAGGGGGCGTGGATTAGCGACGGACTTCGTTCCCCTGGGAAATCGCGGCTTCCCGCCGCCGAGCGAGGCGGCACCGGCCGCAGATTGGGGAGAGCACCTCCCTGGATCCATGGAGTTGGCGACCGCGCGCCAGATCCATGGATCGCTGATCCATCCATCTTTGCGCGCCCCCAATTCTCAGAAGCCCTCGCGCCTTCTGAGGAGTTGCCTGCGTCTTCCGGGAAGGCCCCGAGAACTTCTCAGGAGGCCGGGGAGGGTCTTCTGAGGCTGGAATTTATCCATAACCGCCGCCGGGGGAAGGGGCGATCTTCGCGGACCTCCACAGGTGGTGGATACGGATATGATCGGGCCCACGGGGGCCAACATATGTCCATATCCACCGCCCGCCGAGGCACCAGGACGTCGGTTCCCAGGCGTTATGTTGCTCCCCTCGTACTTAATTAAGCACCACATCCCAGAAATAATTTCGAGCATCCAGAAAAGTATCGAAACAGTGTCGAACGAGTATCGCCTCCCAGGGCCCGACACGCGAAAACCCTCCAGTTTCGGTATTTTCCTGGTGTTCGAACTCCTTTTCTGATGATCAAGGCTAAAGAGGGTTGGAACATCATAACCCAGGCGGTGGATCTGGATGCACTCCCGCCTCGCAGGCTTCCGAGCCTTCCGAGAAGGCCCGCCCCTGCTCTCAGAAACCTTCGCGACTTCCGAGGAGTTGCCTGCGTCTTCGGAGAAGGCTCCGAGAACTTCTCAGGAGGCCGTGGAGGGCCCAGCTTCCACGCCTTCCGAGAAGGCCCGCCCCTGCTCTGATGGGCCTGTTTTCCACCACCACCACCACCATAAGTTGGAGAGGAGGAGGAGAGAGGAGGAGGATGGAGGAGGAGGAGGAGGGAGGAGGAAGGAGATGGAGGAGAGAGGAGGAGGAGAGAGGAGAGAGGAGAGAGGAGGAGGAGAGAGGAGGAGGAGGAGGAGGAGGAGGAGGAGGAGGAGGAGGAGGAGGAGGATGGAGGAGGAGGAAAGAGGAGAGAGGAGGAGAGAGGATGAGGAGAGAGGAGAGAGCAGGAGGAGGAGGAGGAGGAGGAGGAGGAGGAGGAGGAGGAGGAGGAGGAGGAGGACCACCTCCCCCTCGAACTTCCAGTGGTGGTGGTGGAGCACGGGCCCGCCCCCGCTCGCCTCCCCCCCTCCGTGCCCGCCGCCCGAGCCGTCGGGGTCCTCTTCGAGAGCGGCGCGCGCGGGCCGTACGAGTGCCTGCGCCTGGCCCGCGTGCCCCTGCCGCCGCAGGGGCGGGCCGAGCCGGAGCAGCGGGCGCCCGGCGGAGGGGCGGGTGGTCTCGGCGGCGAGGGTCGGGCCGGGCGAGACAGGGGGGGGATTGGGGAAAGGGGGGGGGGTATTAAGAAATCTGCTGCATGCAGCTGGTTTCTTAACGGGCGAATAACGGTATAAAATACACTTTTTCGCCGTCGGGGACACCTGTCCCTGGGCGGGTGGAAAGTTTATACCCCTACGGTGCCACCGTAATGGTATAAACTTTTCAGCCATTTTGGGACAGGCGCCCCCGACAGCGAAAAAGTTTATTTCATACCGTTTGTCGCCCGTTAAGTTTCGGCCCCACCGAAGGGGCCCATTCCTCGACACATGGCCGCCTCCGGCGCCGGGGGGCGCCGGGAAAGTCAGCTATACGTGAGCTGCTTCTGTACCCCCCCCTTGGCTATCCCCCCCGTTCGCCCGGCCCGAGAGCAGCGGGCGCCCGGCGGAGGGGCGGGCGGTCCCGGCGGCGAGGGGTGCGGGCGTGCGTGAGAAGCGCGCGGTTCCCAAAGGTCGAGCAGTGGCGAGGCGTCCTGGCGCGCCCATGGCCCTGCCAGGCAATGTTCTGAGAGCCGTTCTGTTGTGTCCACGGAGTGTTCGTAGAACATTTCTGATTGCTATTGTCTTGTTATGGTAGGTTTGCGTCGTGTCGACCAGCGGCGACCCCAGCGCGGGCGTTCAAGGTTGAACGCCGCCGGCGACCCAGAATCGATCGATGTTGAACGATCGGACGTTGCGGCAGCGGCCGATCGTTCAAGGTTGAACGATCCATGCGGTGTCAAAAACCAACCTGCCGTATGGGACATCGGGCTTAGGCTCTAAGAACATTGTTTTTGTGCTTAGACCATTTTTGGGGTTCTGAGAACATTCCGTGGTAGGACTAGAGGAATGCCGGGACGGTCGGTCCTTGCTCAAAAAGGGGCCCCAGGGAAAGGGATTTTTGAGACGGGCGATGCGGATTTCTCGAGTCCGCTAGGCTTCGCCCATGAGGTATCCGCGCGACGCTTTCACTCGCACCCTTCGGAGTCTCAGAAGTCCCTTTCGCTGGCGTCCCCTTAGATACCCTATCAGAAAAGGCCGCACTGCCGCGCGCGATGGTACAGTCGGGGCGCTGAAGAAGGAACCCTTTTCGTTTCAGAGGGGCTCCGTTTTTTCTTCAGTTGTTCAACAGTGTGCCTCAGGTTTTCCTTCGGCTTTCGATGGAAAATCAATCGAAGCTTGACTTATGGAAGAAAGGACCTCGTTCCTTATGTATGGGGCCTTCGGTCAACGCACCAACTGTGCGCCGCTGTTGTGGGGGGGAGGGGGGGCGCGAACTACAGTCAACCCGCACAATTAGGATGTGCATCCTTCCCAAGGGTACCCTTGCATCCTTCCCTCCTCGGCCCATCCTTGGCCACTTTCGTTGGCCGCGCTCCGCTCGAAAAGCTTCGAAATGGGTGTCCAAGGCCCTTGCATCCTCATCGCGCATCCTTGTGATACGGGCCGACTGGGAGGACAAAATCCTCCCCGATCTCGACAACTGGCGTTAACGAAACGGCCCCGGGCGTTTTCTGAACATCCCTGCCCTGTTCGATTCTTGCCCTGGGTGCGTTTCCTGAACGGATTCGCTTGTTGGGGTGCTTATTTTTTGAGTGGATTTTCTGCTCTCTAAAAGAGCTACCCGGCTGCATCCACGCGCAACTATGGCATCGAGCTCGCAAATTCTCGTATCCAGGCACCACCTGGTGCAAGTGTATTTCTGCACCTTTCCCCGCGGACCCTCCTGCGCCACCGAGGCCTTCGGTGGAGCTCCTGATGAGGCCACGAAACGCGTGAGGGGTGTGCCAAGAGGAGGGTTGGAACCGCATGCGAACACAGCCACTGGGGCCTTCTGTGGAGCTGCCTATGGGGCCACGACACGTTTGTGCCGACATGGGGGTATGACCGCATGCGAACGTAGCCACTGGGACCTTCGGTGGAGCTCCCGATGGGACCACAAAACGTGTGAGGGGTGAGTCAAAATGGGGGTAGAACCGCATGCGAACGCAGCCACTGAGGCCTTCGGTGGAGCCTCTAGGGCTCTAGGGGGTAGCAAAACGTGTGAGGGGTGTGCCGAAATGAGGGTGGAACCGCATGGGAACACAGACACTGCGGCCTTCGGTGGAGCTCCCTATGAGGCCGCGAAACGTGCGAGGGGTCTGCCGAAAGAGGGGCACACCCGCAAGCGAACGCAGCCATTGGGCCTTCGGTGGAGGTCCCTATGGAGCCACGACGCGTGTGAGGGGTGTGCCGAAACGGGGGGTGCCGCATGCGAATGCAGCAATTGGGGCTCGGTGGAGCTCCATGTGGGGTCGCGCAACGTGTGAGGGGTGTGCCAAAAGAGGGGCAGAACCGCATGCGAACGCAGCCACTGGGGCCTTCGGTGGAGCTCCCGATGGAGCAGCGAAACGTGTGAGGTGTGAGTCAAAATTGGGGTGACACCGCATTCGAACGCAGCCACTGGGGCCTTCGGATGAGCTCCCTATGGAGCCACGACACGTGTGAGAGGTGTGCCGAAGCGGGGGTGGAAACGCATGCGAACGCAGCAGCTTGGGCCTTCGGTGGAGCTCCCTATGGGGCCGCGAAACGTGCGAGGGGTGCGCCGACATGAGCATGGAACTGCATGCGAACGCAGCCACTGGGGCCGTCAGTGGAGCTCCCCATGGTGCTACGAAGAGTGTGAGGGTGTGCCGAAACAGTTGACACGCGGAGGGCAGAGGCAGGATAGGAGGAGGGAGGAGGGGAAGGAGGGGAAGGAGGAGGAGAGGAGAGGAGGGACGCGGGGCGCTGTCTCTACAAAACGAGGGCCCAACACCACAGGATGGTTGGAAATAATACTTATCTCCCCCGGAAGTCATGACTTGATTATCCTCCGGGGATCATGATCAGGGGCGTAGATTTGTATGTGGATGCCAAGTTGGGTTGACAGTGGCCGAATCTAGCTTGTAAGTGGGTTACACGTGCCCTGAGTGACGTGGTGGATTCGCTAACTCGGCCAAGTAGGCGCAGCCACCTCGGCCTGGATCCTTGACCCCCTAAGCCACTTGGGACACGTCTAACCTGCTCATGAGCTAGGTTGGGTCAGAGGTAACCCACCGTAGCACCCATTGTTTCACCCCCTATTCCACTCCACAACCCCCGCCGTGACGCAGGTGGGGCGAGGGCGAGGGAGGAGGGACGAGCCGTTTGGATTTGGATCGGCGTCACCCCAACATACTCATACTATATGTGCGTCGCCCTCCCAGGGGCGACGCGCGCACCGAGAAATCTTACAGCAAATGCGTCGTGGCGGGCGCTTTCTGGCCACACCGCTCGAGAAACGATATACTACAAGATGGGTATACAGTCGGACTTGATTGGAGAGGACACGCGAGAGGACACAAGACCCTTCCGAGGGCCACATCGCCATGGGAGTGTAAGAGGGCACGTGCCGCGAGGCACAGGACACAAGGGTACCCTCGAGCTGGCAGGGTCGACCTACTGATCCGGGCCGACTGCACTACACGTTCGGTTCGGGCGCGCGCCTCCAAGGAGGACATGTAGCACCAGTCTGTCTCTGTGCGTCCCGGAGGGGGCAGGGCGGGCCGTCTGCAGGGCGGGCAGCGGGCACGACGCGGGGCACCCCCCCGAGACCAGGGACCGCTCCAGCTGGCAGGGCGTCCTCCCGGCGTGGCCCCGAGAAGAGGCCCTGCTGCCGTGGGCCGTGGAGCGGCCTCCACCGTTTGCGCTCTCCCTCTGGGCGAGGCGGCGGAGGAGAGCGGGGCCGACCTCCTCCTCCTCCATCTGCTCCTCCTCCTCCTCCTCGTCCTTCTCCTCCTCCTTCTCCGCCTCCTCCCCTCCTTCTCCTCCTCCTGCTCCTCCTCCTCTCCCCGTGGCTAAACTACGCCAGCGTGTTTGGGAGGGTGTCCTTGATGATAAAGGGAAAGCTATACATGAACCTCGGGATGTACAAGATGAGCAGCTACATGAACCACCACCTGCACCAGTATGGATACGTAATGAAACTACAAGTACTGGAGCAGTATGCGGGCCCACGTCTGATTCCCAAATAGCGTGGTACGCGCATATGCGCTTTACTCGAGAGGGTAGCCATGGCCATCGTGCGTTGAGCCAGCTCCTTACCATCACCAGCCAGTGCCCCTGGTGCATGAGTGTGCATGCCACGCGAGCCATATCACAGCAACATGTTCGTCGGCTGTTTCTGAATCGTGCATGTCATTGTGATCGTAGCCCCGTGCATCATGAGATAGTCCAGCCCCTATCGTTAGCGTGCCCGGCCTGTGGTCTGGAACACTTTTCGTTCGAGCCACTCCAGAGGCACATCGGAACGCACATCGAGCTACCGAGTGCAGCCCAGCTTGACTTCACAATTGATGGCGCAGTGGGTGATCGCAGTCGATCAAGGCAAGCTCGCGGAGGCCAAGAAGAGGCTGGCGATGAACTCTCCCAAGATCACCTTCGGTGGTGGCTCCAACGGAGAGCGCGCCCCGCCCCCCAAGATGAGGCGACAGGGCGGCGAGGCGACCTCTGCGATGCTGGGAGGGGGTGCAGCCACCGCGGACACAGACGAGTCAGATGGCGAGACGGCGTCGGACCTGATGAAGCTCCAGCTCAACACGGCCCAGCGCAACAGGGCATTTGAAGGATGCCTACTATCGACACAGCTTCTGCCTCAAGAGAACGACCTGAACGCGGTGGCGATGACGACGAACGAGTATTACATTGATCTGGTCAAGGCCAAGCCAGCGGATCATGGTCAGGGCCATCCAGGTCTCATTCTGTCCATGACGATGCTCGAGGCACTGGTAGGCAATGTCTCGCTTCGACAGCAGGGCATGCAGAACGAGCTGAACGCCCCCACCGAGTTTATGACGACAATCAAAACGATGCCACTGGTGCTGGCGGCAGAGTATCTCCAGTGTTGGAAGATCAAGGCGGCCTGGGCGGAGAAGGGGGTAGCCTTGAAGGACCGCATGGTTCGCCACACTTACTTCGTCAACGCGTGGACAACCCTGGGGGGCGGCACCTTCATTGTGCCGATCACTGGAGTCATTGCGGCGCTGCTCATGAAGATGGGCAGCCAGCCGAAGATAGGACCGCCTCCCAGGACGACGCAGGAGAGGAAAGTGCAGGGCAGCTTGGAGCGGCTGCTCCGCAGCTCCAAGCATCGCAGGTAGTAGAACAGGGTCACGCACATGGACGTGCGCATGAGGAAGGTAGTGGGGATGTGAGCGCGCGCGGCACAGTTAGCAGTGTTGTGGGAAATGGTATGGTAGGGCAGACTGTGTGTTGAACGAGGGCGAGCGAGGTTTCAGGGCACATGGGAGCCTCCTGCGCAGCCTGTCCAGAAGCGAGGCCGGGCGTGCGGGCGCAGATGGTAAAATGCACGCATGCACTGTCTTCAATGTATTGTTCAGTTCTGTAGCCCGAAGTGGGCTTCGGTGGCGCATGCCCTCCTCTTTCCCTCTTCTCCTCTCTCCTCTCGGCCTTCCTTTGGTCTGTGCCTCCTCCTCGTAGGGGCCGCCTTAGCTCTGTCTTGCTGGCCCCCCTTGTGACGGGAAGCTTGGCGCGGCACGCTTCGTTGCCAATGGGTCGTCGCCGAATTTTGGCCCCCTTCTGTCCTCCTCATCCTGGTGGCGGTGCGCCTCTCGAGTAGACCCTCGCCCTGAGTTTTGCCGGTTCGCGTCGCCTGACTTCCATCCGCCTGCTCCAGCCATGAGTCCTGGAGAGGGAGCCAGGAGGGATGGCGATTGTTCGACATCGGCGGGGACGCAGCGATCCCAGGCCGCCCATCGGTCGCCGCCGATCAGCCGAGCTGAGCGCTGGACCACCTGATGCTTACCACCACCAAAACCACCACCTCGTCTCCCCGCGCAAGGTCGCGCGGGAGCGCCTTGGCTTCCAGTGTGGCGTGCCGCGCCCGCGGCCTGCGTGAGCCACCGCTCGAGGTCGCTGCGGCGCGGCGCGCGTTTTCGTGGGCGCGTCGGCGTGCCGTGGAAGATCTGAAGCCATCGTCGCGCGGCCTGGTTGCGGTGGGCCCGGGCGGCGACGGCGCGACGGCGACGACGGCGAAGGCGTGCAAGGTTGAACTCTGCGGCGCGGAAGCACCACGGGACGCGGCGAGGCCACTGGGCCCGACGGTCGTCAACTTTGCACGCTCGGGTCCGCGATCGATTCTTGGGCTTGCGCCGCGCCGCCGACCCCTTGGGTGACTGGCGGTGATGGCGCGTGGTTCGCGAGGCCGCGAGGGCCTCTTGGGCGCCTTTTCGGGGATTGTTGGTGTCCTTTTGGTCGCTTCACGGGGGCCTCTGGGGGGCCTCTCGGAGCTTCGTGGAGGCTTCATAGGGGCCATGGGCCACAGGCTCGAAAGGCGAGGCAGATCAGGAGCTATCCAGATAATTCTGCATGCGTCGAGGACGCGGGTGGGTCGAGGAACAGCAGAAGTCGCAAACTCCCCGTCACTCAGGCGTCCGCGTTGATCTGGTCGATCCGTTTTGGTGTCGGTTTCGGCCGGGCCGATCAGATTCGATTTCGACGTTCCGACGATCCGATGTGGCCCGAAGCGCGCAGCGCATCCCAATCCACGGCCCGGGTCGACGCGCGTTTCGATCCGACCCGATCAGATTTATCGATTCGACGTTGACCGCTCCTGCCATTCGGTAAGCTGGGGCTTCGAGGTGCCCTCTCGGCGTTTTTTTTGGGTGCCGTCCTGGGGCTCTCTGCGGGGCCCGTTTGGCTGAGTCGGGCCACCTCGGGGAGTTCTGGAGCCCGAAGCAGGACATGTCCGCGCGGGCTCCCCCATCGGAGCATCCTCCTGGAGCCGTCCTGGGGCACTCCCGAGGCGTCTCGGGAGCTTGTGGGGCCGTCTGGGAGCCTGCTCGGGGCGTCGTGGGACCCTCTTGGGGCCCTCTGGGGCCCTCCTGAGTCGATCATGAGCGCGTCCGGGGCCGCGGTGGACACGCATGCGAAACATGGGCGTTTGCCGAAAAGAGAGGGGCGATTGGGGTTCCCAGCGGGCCTTTTCTCCGCCCTCGAAGCGGCTTCGCGGGGCGTCTCGGGGGCCCATGGGGTCGCCTCGAGGCCGTCGTGAGCGTCTTGGAGCGATCTTTTGTCGGCTCGTGGCTCTCATGGACCATCCGGAGGTCTCTTGGGGCACTCTCGACACGTTTTGGCGCCTCCCCCCCATGATGCGTTTGGGGGGGGCCCAGCGGGGCCCCCCACCTCCAAACCGGAAGAATGCGGGCAGAGATGCGAGAATGACGGGCGAGAACCTACGTTTACACATGGCGGGCATTTGTCAAAATGTTAGAGCCGTCGCGGGCGTCTTGGAGCGAGATGTGGAGCGTGTCGGGGCCCTCTTGGACAGTCTACTGCGCGCGCGCAAAAAAAAAAAAAAAAAAAAAAAAAAAAAAAAAAAAAAAAAAAAAAAAAAAAAAAAAAAAAAAAAAAAAAAAAAAAAACCTGGGGCCCAGCAAGCGCGGCACTGCCCGCACCAGCACCAGTGATTCCTGCGGCTGACATGTTCAACGTTCGCCGCGCAACTAGGGGAACGGGCGAGAACCCACGGTTGTAATCGGCGGGCACACGTCAAAATACCAGAACAATGATTATCGAATGGCCCTCGGCAGTCGGGGGCCTCTCGATGGTCAGGAGGCGATAGTTCGGAGCATGTGACGTTCTCTTGGGACCTCGTTTTCGGTGTTCGCCGTGCGCGCACGGGGAAACGGGCGAGAAACCATGTTTAATTCCAGATGGCGGGCATCTGTCAAAATACGTATTGGAGTCGTCGTGGGCGTCTTGGAGCGAGATGAGGGGCGTGTCGGGGCTTCTTTGGACAGTCTACCGCGCGCGCACGACAACCTCTCCCGGGACTGGGCATTCGCGGCACCGCCTGCACCAGCGGTAGTGATTCGAGCGGCTGGCATGTCCAGCGTTCGCCGTGCAAACAAAGGGGGACGGGCGAGAACCAACGGTTACAATCGGCGCGCATTTTGTCAAAATGCCACAAGAATCTTATCGGATGGCCTTCGGTACATCCCGCCACACTGCCTGGGCTGCGGGTCTGCGGCGTCTGCGGCCACTCGGATGGTTGGTGGGGTCTCGTGGGAGGCGCCCCAAGGGCGTGCGGGAGGCAGTTTTTTTTTGAACATTTTGGAGGTTTCCTGAGGTTTTTTGAGGGGCCTCTCGGAGTTCCCTGGGGGCCTGTTCGGGGTTTCTTGGGGCGGCCGGTGGGCGTTTTGGGGTCGCAGGCTTGAAATGTCCGTTTGGGGTCCCCCCTCTGGGCCCCCTCTTGGGGCCGTCCTGGGGCCCCTTTGAGACGTTTTGGGCGTTTCTTGCGCGGTCTTGGGGCCCTCTCAGGTCGTCTGGGGGCCCTCTTGCGAGCCACTTGGGCCTTCTTGGGGCGACGTGGAAGGTTTCTTGGGCCGCCTTGGTCGTTGTCAACGCACAAGAGGCGAATGTGCTAATCAAGCACCCTTTCCAAAAGGAATGGGGCGGCTTTTGCTCCTTGGGGCCGTCTTGGGACGCCTCTTCAGTGCTTTTTGAGGCGTCGTGGGGGTCTCTTGGGCCGTGTGGGGGCCAGCGCGAACGTTGTGGACCGATCTTTCGGCGGCTCGTGGCCCTCTTGGACCGTTCGGACGGCCTCTTGGGGCTCTCTTGGCTTGTTTTGGGGCCCTCGGTCCCCCCATGGCGCGATCGGAGCGTCCCCAGGGGATCCCCCCCTCCAAATCGACCAGACCGGGCTCCTGGGGGAGGGGTGCGGGGAGGGGGGAGCATCTCACACGCCGATGAAACCCAAGGGGTCGGCGGACTCAAGGCCGAACGATCGACGCTTTATCAAAAACTCGCGCCGACGCCCCACGAACCTACCGTTGAGTCGGGCATGTCCTTCCACAGGAGAAAGATTCAAAAATAGTAAAATTACCCTGGCGAAGGACCCAACCATGTGCAGCTGTGTGTACCGCAGTTGTGGGTATCGTCCTCGGTGAGCCTCTCTCTGGGGCCACGACGCCAGTGACGGGTGTGCCAAAATTGACACGGGTACGCCATGCGGACCCTGCCACTGGAGCCGTCGGTGCAGCCTCATGTGAGGCCACGAAACGTGTGAGGGGTGCGCCGAAATGCATGGTGGAACCACGTGCGGGCGCTGCCACTAAAGCCTTTGGGGGCCACGAAACGTGTGAGGGGTGCGCCGAAATAAAGGGTGGAACTGCATGCGGACTCTGCCACTCGGATCTTCGGCGGAGCACCCCATGGGGCCACGAAACGTGTGATGGGTGCGCCGACATGGAGATGGAACTGCATGCGGACTCTGCCACGGGGGCCTGCGGTGAAGCACTGTGAGGGGTGTGCCGAAATGAGGTGGAACTGCTTGCGGACCCTGCCACTGGGGCCTTGGGTGGAGCACCCGATGGGGTCGCGGAACGTGTGAGGTGTGCGCCAAAATCGGGGGTTGGAGCTGCATGTGGACCCTGCCACTGAGGCCTTCGGCGGAGCACCCTATGGAGCCACGAAACGTGCGAGGGGTGCGCCAAAATTGAGGTGGAACTGCATGCGGACTCTGCCACTCGGATCTTCGGCGGAGCACCCTATGGGGCCACGAAACGTATGAGGGGTGCGCCGAAATGAGCATGCGAGAGAGCAGAGGCAGGGAGGGCAGAAGGGGGAGGAGGAGGGAGTGAGGAGACGCGTGGCGCTGTCTCTTCAACACGAGAACCCCACTCCACAGGATGGTTGGGAATTTTAGTCTTTGGACCGATGGTTTGCTAAGTTTGGTCATGTTTGAACATTTTTGCGTATCTTTATCGGTCCAGAATCCGCCTGCAAGGGGGACACGCTCGACCTAAACCTACCGTAGCAACGTGTCCTCGTCTGGGGGGGGGGGCCTTGCACGGCGCGCGTTTCGCGCGCCGCGAGGCCCCGGGCGCGGGCCGGCCCAGGGCTGCTGCTGGGCCGCGCCTGGCTCTGGTGGCGCCAGAGGCGCCCCGCCACGTCGCCGACGCGTTTGGAGAATGGGAGAACCCCTGGTAACCCTGATCCTGAAGGTCAAAGCAGGAAAAGGTACCCCTACTGCTACACCTCCCCCGTGTTCCTCGTTGTCAGCCTCCCGGGAGGCCCACAGCTGGGCGGTTTGGTTAGATACATTTGCAGGCAAGACACCTTATCCCTAACGTTTTTGGCCCTCCAAACTTTGGTCCCATCCCAGAGGGTTAGGGGTCATTTTATCCCCAATCAAGGCCCCGATCTTGCAGGATCCTGCAGAGCCAGGGATGCATTGACCCGGGCTTGCGTGCAGGATCTTGCAGAATCCTGCGAGGTCTGATTGAGCCGCGTTTGCGTTGAACCGGGTCAGTGCGTTCCCGAGGAGGGCGAGTTGAGACATCTAGGAACAAGCAATGACGGAGGAGGAGAGGGAGGAGGAGGAGGAGGAGGAGGAGGAGGAGGAGGAGGAGGAGGAGGAGGAGGAGGAGGAGGAGGGAGAGGAGGAGGGAGAGGAGGAGGAGGAGGAGGAGGAGGAGGAGGAGGAGGAGCATGAGGACGACAACGAGGGGGAAGACGACGAGAAGGAGGAGGAGGAGGAGGAGGAGGAGGAGGAGGAGAGGGAATTGAACCCGGGGGCCGCTGCTGATGTCGCCGGCTCCGCTCGCCCTGCCCCGAGACGCGCGGCGCGAGCACGCGGGCCCTCTTCCCGGGCTAGGGGCAGCGTCGGGTGGGAGGCGTCTCGGGGCCCCCAAGCGGTGTGGTGACCGCACCGCGTGGTGAGTCGGTGGGGACTCGGGGTCACCGCACGGTTTTGGGACTCGAGTCCCTCTCCGAGGAGGTCTCGGGCGACAGGGGCCTTCAGGGTCCCAAGACCGTGCGGTGAGGTCTCCCGGGTGCCGAGGTCACCGCACGGTCTGTCACCGCACGGTTTGGGGATCCCCAAGGGGTTCGAGGTTCAAGGTTCAAGGTTGTCGAGGGCAGCGGCAGGGGACGACGGGCTCGAAGCTCGAGGCGGCGGCGCGGGACCCGCACTCGGGCGGGCCTTGGCGGCGTTTGGTCCCGCGGGGACGGCTTTCGGCGGGAGGGGGGGGCGGCAGGCTCCAGGTTCGAGGTTTTCGGGCGTTTTCGCTGGTTCTCGGCGGTATTTGAGTGGGGGGGGGGACGGGCTCAAAGGGGTGCACCAGACTCGAGGTGGGGGAGGAGCGGCAGGCTCGGGGTTCGAGGTTTTCGGGCGTTTTCGCTGATCCTCGGCGGTGTTTGATTGGGGGGGGGATGCGCCAGGCTTAGGAGGGACGAGACAGGTTCGATGTTCAAGGTTTTCGGGCGTTTTCGCTTATTCTCGGCGGTGTTTGAGTGTGGGGGGGCAGGCTCGAGGTTCGAGGTTTTCAAACGTTTTCGCTGATTCTCGGCGGTGTTTGAGTGGGGGGGGGCAGGCTTAAGGGGGACGATCGGTTCGATGTTCGAAGTTTTCGAGCGTTTTCGCTGGTGCTCGGCGGTGTTTGAGTGGGAGGGGGTGAGGGCAGGCTTGGGGGGGACGACAGGTTCGAGGTTCAAGAGTTTCGGGCGTTCTCGCTGCATCCGGGTGTTTTTTCCAGCCTCGGGACGCCTCCCAGCAGCTGCGCCTCGCCAGGGCACTCCGGGGGTGCCTTGGTCCTCCCGGATGGCCGCCAGAGGCCCGAGTTATCCCCCTGTAGTTCTCCTCCTCCTCCTCCACCTCTTCCTCCTCCTCCTTCTCCTCCTCCTCCTCCTCCTAGTCGGCGTTGGAGGCCCAGGCAATTTGAGCTCCGACGGAGTGAGGACTTTCACTGAAACTCACTCACACGATTTCCGCCCCATACATTATCCAATCTCGGTCGGGCGGGCGAGAGGAAGTAGGGGGGGAGGAGGAACGGAGAGAAGAAACAATCCCTGCAGCCACTCCGATACCGTATGGCGGATGTTTTCTCGTGCCGCATTCTTCCACATGTCTATGGAGGATTCGAGCGTGAGCTTAAAATCAACGACGAGCCAAAGACGCAGAGAACGGATCCGCCGTACCCATGCTCGGAAATTCCAGATTGCCAGGATTTGCCATTTGCGAACAATTGGTTGATCAAGTGCCGTCGCTGGACAGCAGCTACCAGAGGGAAGGAATATGGAAGCCCCGGGTATCCGAGGCAACCGGAGGGTGCCAATGAAAAGCCTCGACAACCCAAAAACGCGTCAGAGGTTTTGGAACAGTTGCACCAGGAGTCTGACTTTGAAGCAAATGCACATTCAAAACACAGGGAACGATTTTGTGTTGGAAAAGATGGCACTGGATATAGAATATCAAATGTGCCAACGGAATCTCATTGGCCTAGCTCTGCCTTTTCACCCGCCCGTCGGCGAGATCAGTTGAAGACGAAAGCCAGAGGGAAGATGGAAGCCCCGAGGTTCGGACACCATTGGCTTTCGCCAGTGATGAACCTCGAGAACCTATGACCGCTCTGATGGAGGACAACAGTCACAGGCTGCCGCAGGGCAAACGAAAGCAGGCGACAAAGAGGGAAGATGGAGGTCCCGAGATTCGGAGGTCATTGGCTTCTGCCGATGATGGACCTCGAAAGCCCGTGGACCATGGATTCCCGCGGGGGAGCGGACGAGAAGGAGGTCTGGCAATATGGAGGTCAACCCGAATTTTTGGCAAGATTTTCCCAGGCGGTCGGCTCTTTTGTTTGCCGCCGGAGAGCGAAGGTCGGGAAAGGTGGAGGCCCCGAGGTTCAGAGGCCACCGGCTGGTGCCGACGAAGAACTTCGAACACCCATGCTCCTCAATGATGCCCCGGAGATCAAAACGATTCTGAGATTCTTCATACAGCGACCAGCGAAGGAATCAGGAAGAGCGTTTTGCAAACACTCTGCACGGAAGGGAGGATGTCCGCTGGAGAATATGTTAAAGTATGTGGATTGTTGCTTCGCAGAGGGATTGTGCAGGTTCGGAGGAAGTGGATAAATACCAATAATTGAGACAGAGGGACCGGCATAATTTCCCAACTGGGGCTCCCTCTGACTTATTAGTGGTTGAAGACACACTTGTTGAAGGGTTTGTCATAGAAGAGAGGGCGCGGAAGCGCAACGGACGAATTGTGGGCGGTATGTTTGACATGTATTTGGGACACTATTGCCCATTGTTTTCTGCGGACGCATTGCGTCGCGAATTGGCTTCCAGCGGCGCAAATCGCATTTCGCCAAACATGGAATTCGTGCTGTCGGGATGGGAAAGCTTTGGATTGATTGCCAGAGTGGGAGACAACTACGCAACTGCTACCCTGTGAAGATTACAATCTTTCAGATTGGGGAAACGGAATCACAGAGGATGCCAATCTTCTGCACGTGCCGCGTGCACCCCCCCATTTTCTTGGATAAGTGCGACCTTGCAGAGGACGGGGCGAGCGGAACTTGAGCACGCTTGAGCGCGCTTGGCGCGGGAAGCGGAATCTGAGCGCGCTTGGTGGGGGGACATTTGTCTCGGTGTAGTGAGCAGAGAGCACGAACAAGAGCATTTCGGACATCATGAGCTTTTGTGGAGGACGGGTGGGGGATGGGGGAGCGGGGGGGACGTCTCGGAGTGCAAGAGTTTTGGCCAACAAATTCAAAAAGGTCTCAGAGGACCACCCTACTGGGGAACCTTGTTCGCCAGCGCGTCCCCCAGAGCGGGCGCGCGAAAAGGCCAGTCGCTGTTCCCATCGCGCTGACCCGTAGGGACTCGTCTGAATTAGCGAGCTTCTCTTACGGGGCCACCTCGGAACTCGCCCCTTTGAGCTTAGGGGTATGCCCCCCCCTGCCTGCCCAATGAGAAGTCTGGGGCTGCGGCGTAATCTAATCGCGGGAGATTTGTTTGCTAGTTGCACCCGCAGCTCCTTCGCAGGTGTTGACGGTGACCCCTTTTATGCGGATGACCATGACAATGACCATGACCGCCTTCTCCTCCTCTTCCTCCTCCTCCTCCTCCTCCTCCTCCTCCTCCTCCTCCTCCTCCTACTCCTACTCCTACTCCTCCTCGTCCGAGTTCTCGTCCGCCCCCTCCTCCGCCTCCTCCTCCTCCTCCTCCCTCCCCTCCCCTTCCCCTCCCCTCGTCCACCCTGCTTTGCTGGGGGGAACAGCAGCGTGATTCAAGTCACGAGCTCTGGTTTAAGGGGCGCTATGTGTTCTGTGGTCTGTGCGGGCCCTGGGCCGCCCAGCGACCAGTCAACCTTTTGATTGGTTGCCATGTGGCCCTCGAGGGCCCGCACAAATCTCCCCGAAGCAGTTGCAGACGTTTTCCAACGAGTATGCAAGGGTAAGCCGCCTCAGCAGACTGCCTCTTCTTGGGGTGACGAGTGTGCCCTAGAGCTTTAACTTACCTGATTTCACCGTCGAGTTTGAACCTGCTTGCAGAGTTTGGTTGGATGATGCACACAGTGGAAAAAACTCCTCCCCCTCGTCCCCCCCCGTCCTCCTCCCTCTCCTCCTCCTCCTCTTCCTCCTCCTCCTTTTCCTCCTCCTCCTCCTGCTCCTCCTCCTCCTCCTCCTCCTCCTCCTCCTCCTCCTCCTCCTTATCCTCATCCTCCTTTTCCTCTTACTCCTCCTCCGCCTCCTCGTTCTCCTCCTCGTTCTCCTCCTCTCCAGTCCCCCTTTCACGCCCTGCACGGCGAGGCCTCGGTTTGGTGATCCTTGGGCCTTTGGGCTCGTGTAGTGGGGTGAGCGTTTTCCCCCCTCCCCGGCGTAATGCTCGCTTCCCGGGCCAACCACCCCCCCTGGATAACGCTAGCGATCGTGCGGGGCGGGGGGGCTCCCCCCCCAAGCTGGGAGCGGACCCCCCGAAGGTATGGCGTTGTGATCACAGGCGTGGCGTGGTCTTATTAACGGCACACGTTGGTGTTCACAAACGTGTTGTGGCGCTCGCAATCGTCGTTATCATCGTCGTCGTCGTCGTCGTCCAATGCAGCTGGCGATGGCTCAGCTACTGCAGGCTGTTTCGACCACGGCGGGAATCCCCCCCTTCCCCTCGCGGGCGCGCCGGCCAGATCCCCAGGGCGATGCTACGGGGGGGGAGGGGGGGCGTGTCAGAGGCGATGATACGGGCCACGGGAGAGCAGTACATGTATTCAGGTGCGCCGATGATCCGTGTCCTCGAAAGGCTCCCCCGGGCGAACACGTGTAATGCCCGCCCCTGGGCTATTCGCCCCTTATCGTCGCCGCCGAGCGTGGCGGGACGGGGAGGTAGGCGAGGTCCTCCTCTTCCTCTTCCCCGGCCGGAGGAGGGCAGTGAGGCCGAAGGAGGCAGGAAGGAGGAGGGGGGGGGTAGGAAGGATTCAGGAAGGAGGAGAGATGTGGGAGAGCAGGGGGGGGAAGGGGACGAGTAAGGAACAGATGGGAGGGAGGAGGGAGGAGCCAGGAGGGAGCGGGCAGGAGGGGAGATTGGGCGAGGATATGGAGGGGGAACGGGATGACAATCGCGACGGAGAGCGAGGTCTGGGGCGGGAGAGGGGGGACGGGGCAAGCATGGCATAGCATGGTGTCGAACATCAACACGTAGCATGACATAGCATGGCGTGACGACGCCCCAAGGTGGGGGGGCTTCTGCGGCCAAAACAATCAAAGAATCGACACCGAATGCGGAATCACGTCCGATGGTTTCTCCGGGAGGCCATTTTTTAGATGTTTCGGGCCTATTTGAAAGGACCGAAAATCGTGTTGGGACATGGCATTCGAAATAATGACGCCAGCGGTGCAGCGGGAGCACGATTCGCAACGAGCGGAAGCGCGGGAATGAGGCCAGCGCTGCAGCGTGAGCACGATTCGGAACGAGCGGTAGCCCGAAAATGAGGCCAGCGCTTCAGCGAGAGCAGCATTTTGAAACAAATCAAGCGCGGAAGTGCGGAAATGAGGACGCGTAGCCTGACATAGCATGGCGTGGCGACGCCCCAAGGTGGAGGGGGCTTCTGCGGCCCTAAAAATCAACGAATCGGCACCGAACGTGTAATCACGTCCGATGGTTTTTTCGGGAGGCCCTTTTTTAGATGTTTCGGGCCTGTCTGGAGGGACCGAAAACTATGACATGGCATGGCGCTGGAAATAATGACGCCAGCGCTGCAGCGGGAGCACGATTCGGCACGAGCGGAAGCGTGGAAATGGGGCCAGCGCTGCAGCAGCGGGAGCGCGATTCGGAACGAGCGGTAGCCCGAAAATTGGGCCAGCGCTTCAGCGAGAGCAGCTTTCATTCATTCACATATATATATATATATACATATTTAAGATATGTATGTATGTATGTATGTATGTATGTAGATACACCTACATGTATAACAATACTAATAATATTAGTACTAATAATAATAAGATAAATAATAATAATAATAATAAAATAATAATGATAATAATAATACCAATAATAATACACATAATAGTACTAATAATACTAATAGTAATAATAATACTAATAAATAAATAAATAAATGATTAAATACATAAATAAGAAGAATAATATGAACACTAATAATCAGAATGTGAATATGCATAGGAATAAGGATAAACGAACGAAAACCAAACTCCCGGGGTTCCTGCATATAAAAACCAGTACGCAGAGGGGGGCCAGACATTCCCCAGACGCCGTCAGAGGGGAGAGGGGATAGTAGTATTTAGTATTCATATTGTGTAGTTGTAGAGGGGTGCCGGAAGGCGGAAGACTGGGCGGCGGAGGGTCATCTGCCCCGTCTCCATCTCGCCTCTTACTGCCCCTCCTCCGCCTCATCCTCCTCTTATTCCTCTTCGTCCGCCTCCTCCTCCTCATCCTCGTCCCCCCTTCTCCTCTTCCTCCTCCTTCTCCTCCGCCTCCTCCTCCTCCTCCTTCTCCCGCCTCCTCCTCCTCCTCCTCCTCCTCCTCCTCCTCCTCCTCCTCCTCCTCCTCCTCCTCCTCTCCCCCCCCAGGAAAAAAATGGCGCGCCGTAAAACAGCAGCACAGCCGCACAGCAGCCCACCACAGCAGGCGGAGCGCCCGCTTCCGTTGGCCAAGCCCCCCCCCCTGAGCCGGCCGCGCCCGGTGGGAGGCCTGGCTGGGCCGCCGCGGCGGCGGCGGCCTGCGGCGGCGCGCTCTTCGGTGCGGCCCCTGGGGGGGATGCGGGGGCCCAGACCCCTCCCTAGGTCATGAAGAAATCACGACGGGAGGCTTTTCGCCGTCTTCGGCCTTCGGGGGCCCTCACCGGGCCCCGGGACCGTCCGAAAAGGATGCGGGATGAGAAACGGGTCCTTGGGAATGGGTCCGGACCTCTGAGGGTCGCGTCGTGACAACCTTCATGGCGTCGGGGGTCTGGGGGCGTCGCTCGGGCGGCGGCGAAATGCGAACTCTGCCCTCGCAGATCAACGGTTCTCTGAGCAGGAGGAGGAGGAGGTACACATGTCCTGCTGCCCTTCCCTCGGTTTCGCCCCTTTGACGGCCTCGGGGGAGGCCTTCGTCGCCACCGCTGGATTCACCGCGCAATCCTTGTCAGAACGCGCCCCGGAAGAGGTCCACGGAGTAGCGGTATCGGAACCGTTTCGTTCCCCCAGGTTCAGGCGACTCGGTGGATGGCGGAATGCGTCGAACACGCGGCGAAGTCCGAACCCGACCCACCCCACATCGATGCCGAAGAATTGATGGTTGGGGGTGTGGTCAGGGTTCGGATGTCGCCACCTAGCTCGTGCGGTGTGGGCGTGGTGCTCTCTCGTGCGCTTCCTCGTTTTTTGGCGGCGCGCACACGGGGGGCGACGCGGTGGGGGGAGAGAGACAGAGGAGCCAACCACCGCCTGGCGCATAGGCACAAGCATCGCGTGCAAGCCTCACAGAGTACATAGGGCAGAAAGTGTCGTTTGTTGTTGGCACGAGCGTGCTGCAAGAGGAAAATGGAGGGCGAGGAGGATGACGAACACGAGGGGCGAGACACGACATAGTAACGCATTGCAGCCGCCAACACACGCGCGTGAGGCATCAAGGGGGGGGGGGCGGGGAGGGGGGAGGGGGGCGGCGGGGGCGCAAACCACAGCCTTCCGAGGAAAAGCGGAGGGGGTATTTCTAAGAGAACTGAAAGCCTTCTTGGAGGCCTTCCAGGAGGAGGCCTTCCCTGGAAGCCCCCCCCGGGGGAGGGCCTTTCTGAGAGAAGACCCTGTGCTCGGCGTCACCCCGACATACAAATACTATGTGTGTGTGTGTGTGTGTGTTGCCCCCCCCAGGGGCGACGCGCGCACCGAGAAATATTATAGTATATATGCCTCGTATCGGGCGCTTTCTGGCCACATCGCTCGGACAAAGATCTACTACAAGATGGGTATATTGTATGTTCGGGTCGGACGCACCCCTCCAAGGAGGATAGACAGTACTAGTCTGTCTCTGTGCGTCCCATGTGCATTATGAGAATCAAGAGGGGAACGAAACCACACACAGACACAATTATTGCCGTCGATCCCTCGGAAAATCTGGACAACTAGGCGACGTGGGGGAAAGACTAAACTCAAGAACACCTTGGGGAAATATGGGGCGCTCGCGCCGCACCCCTCGCGCCCGCGCCGCCCCAGGGGGGCTCCAGGGAGGGTCGCCGCCCGGTGCGCGCAGGGGCGCTGGGCGTGCTCCTCCTCCTGCGCCTCCTCGCTGCCTGTGATGCTCGGCCCCCTCCTCCCGCCTTCTCCTCCTCCTCCTCCTCCTCCTCCTCCTCCTCCTCCCGCCTCCGCCCCCTCCACCTCACCCCGCCTCATCCCCTTCCGCGTCCTCCTTCTCCTCCTTCTCCTCCCCTTCCTCCTCCTCCTCCTCCTCCTTCTCCCGCCTCCTCCTCCTCCTTCTCCCGCCGCCTCCTGCCTCATCCCCTCCTCCTCCTCCCTTCTCTCCTCCTCTCCGCCTCCGTCCACTCCTCCTCCGCCTCTTGCTTCTCCTCCTCCTCCCTCCCTCCTCCTCTCCTCCTCCGCTTCTTATGTGTTACGTTTAACGAACCTTACGAAAGTACCTGTGGCGTTCTTTCCTTCTCCTCCTCCTCCTTCTCCTCCTCCATTTCTTCCTCCTCCTCTTCTCTCCTCCTCCGTCTCCTCCTCCTCCTCCTTCCCTCCCCCTCCACCTCCCCCTCCCCCCCCTCCCCCTCCCCCTACCCCACCACGCCGTCTTTTCTGTGGTGCTCGATATCTGATTCGGGGACGATCGGGATGGGTACGGAGAGAACGGGGACAAAGACCGACACCAGTCCTTGTCCACTCTGCGCAGGACTCGCTTTCGGTGCCGCCGCTGGCACTGTTTATGTGAGGCAGAAGGGCGCGTGTTGGACAGCGGCTGCTGTCGGTGATGGACAGCAAATCAGCAAATGATGCTGAACGTCTTCCGACAGCGCCCTCGCGGGGGGAACAGCACCAAAGTGCGTGGCGTCGTGGTGGAGAGTTCCATCGTTTCCGGCAACGCTTGGGTTCAGGGTGGGGATGCATCGACCCCCAATCGCCCAGTGATCGTCGATAGCGACCCGCTAGCCCGCCCCACTCAGGAACGTGCGGATTCGCTATCGGGGGGGACTATCGCCGATCCATGGGCGATGCACGTGGATACTAGGGTAAGCCCTTCCACTATGTTCAGCCCTGGCTAGCTTTTACGGCTATGGCGGCCTCATCCCAACTGTTGTAGGCCCGTTCCAACTCCTGCGCATTCAACTCTCACAGGATGTCCAACTTCAATTGTTCGTTTGTTTTGTCTATCACTGATTCCAGGTCGCCACCCTTGGGGCTGCCCCTGAGTGAAGTCGCGACCGCGTAGCATACTAGCGGTGGACGCCAGCGTACGTTGCCGATGATCTTATGTCGAATGCACTCAACGTCGAAGCCATGACGTCATGGGAGGGGGCCGGCAACGGCGAGCGAGCGAAGCAATGAGAGGCAATGACCAAGCATGCGCGGATTGTTTGGGTCCGCTGACTCGTTCGACCTGGCTAGTTGGGCTCTGCCAGTCGTTCCCCAGAGGCATTCGGTGTTGCAGTCAGAGTTCCAGATTCCAAGATGCTTTGAGCGCGCCTTCCTATTTTAGGAACCGAACGTGTCTCCCTTTTCCGTCCTTCTCAGGGGGCGGGCGGACACTCAGTACACTTCGCAGCGCCTTCCTTTTTCATCAGTTGTTGACCCAGTTCTTCTGGAGGGTAGGCATCCTCAGTCGATTCCGTATTCGTACAGATTCCCACGAGGCCACCCAGCCAGCAGATAGCCGCCCCCCTTCTCCCAAACTGTGACGCCCCATGCCGCCCATCGGAAGCGGATCCAACCTCTGCGTTTTCCTTTTCAGCACGGACGCCTTGTCGCCGACGCTGCGAGACGCGCGACCAGGAAGGGACGGGGGCGCGTTCGCGCCTCTTCTCCTGTGGAGCTGGGCGCCGCCAGCTCGTCGACGTGCCCGCGGACGAGCATGATGTCGCTCTCGCTCGAGCGTGGCGCACACGCCCCTCTACCCGCCAGGCCGTTTTGGGGGGCGGGGCCGTGCGCGAGCGGGCGGCCTGTCGCCCTCGCCTGGGCGCCGTGCAGATTCTGCGCCTGTGCGGGGCGATCCTCTGCGCCTGGGCGCGGCGCGCGTGTCGCTCCTTCGCAGCAAAAAAACAAGTCGCAGGAGAGCGGCAGCGGCGCCGAGCGAGAGCGGGCGCAGTGTGATGCCCTTGCCCGAGCACCGCGCAGTTTGCGTGCGTGTGCGCGTGCGCGTGCGCGTGCGCGTGCGCGTGCGCGTGCGCGTGCGCGTGCGCGTGCGTGTGCGCGTGCGCGTGCGTGTGCGTGTGCGTGTGCGTGTGCGTGTGCGTGTGCGTGTGTGTGTGTGTGTGTGTGTGTGTGTGTGTGTGTGCGTGTGCGTGTGCGTTTGCGTGTGCGTGTGTGGTGTGTGTGTGTTGCGTGGTGTGTGGTGGGTGTGGGTGCGTGTGCGTGTGCGTGTGCGTGTGTGTGTGTGTGTGTGCGTGTGTGCGTGTGTGCGTGCGTGCGTGCGTGCGTGCGTGCGTGCGTGTGTGTGTATGTGTGTCTGTGCGTGTGTGCGTGCGTATGCGTGTGTGCGTATGTGTGTGTGTGCGTGTGTGTGTGTGTGCGTGTGTGTGTGTGTGTGTGTGTGTGTGTGTGTGTGCGTGCGTAGGTGTGTGTGTGCGTGCGTAGGTGTGTGTGTGTGTGTGCGCGTGTGAGCGAGGCAGTGTTGCTTCGGCGCGGCGCACGCTCCGTCGTCGCCGCGCTAACCGGAAGCCTGGCCGCCCGAGAAGAGGCGGACGGGTGCTCTCGTCGTGGCGCCGCGCAAACATGTTCTGAAGCTCCGTTCCCGCCGCTGTGCTGCCCGCGTGTTCTCCCTTCGCCGAGCAGGCCGTGCGCGAGCGCCGTCCGTTCGGTAGTTTGGAACGCGCTCACGCGTTCGCCAAAACCGAATCGTGCCGCCACTGACTCTTACGCTAAGATCTCGGAGGGAAGATGCAACTGGGCAGGGCCCACTGACTCGTTACCTTCAGGACTTTCGTCTTTGCTTCTTCCTCCTCCCCCGCCCTTTCATTCCTCTTCGTTACAGTTCCTCCCTCTATCATTGTGCTTTCCCCTTCTCGTCCCCCCTGCTCTACGTGCGAGGGATGAGAGCAATAAAGAGATAGAGAGAGAGACAAGGAGACAGGGAGAGAGAGATAGGGATAATTAACAAAAAGGCAATCACGTAGGAACGGAGGGTGGAGGACGTGGAGGCGAGGACGTGGAGGCTTCGAGGCCAGCAGCCTCGACAGGCGCTTGCCAACCGCCGCAGCCGCACTTCGATCAGGCCCGCCCGCCCCAAGACGTCTGTGGCCTGTCCGGCGCCACCATGGTGAACATCCCGAAGACGAGGACGTCGCGCCATGGATGCCGCCACACAGAGAATGGGCTCTGAGCTTTGGTTAGCAGGGAGGGCAGCGGCAGGACCTCAGCTTCGGCGGTGATCCCCGTTCTCTCCTGCTCCGCCTCCTCACCATTCTCATCCTGCCCGTCCTCATCCTGCCCCTCCTGCTCGTCCTTCAGGGGTCGGTCCTCTTCACAGGGGCGCTCTCGATGCTCCCAGGCCGGGGTCCGAACACGAGCCTCGGAAGCCGAAGCCGAGGGTAAACCTTGGGATTGAAAAAATCAGACCGTCGAGGACCTTGGGACGACGCCCTGAGTTTTGCAATCCGCGGTTCCTGGAAGTTCCGACCCCGTTCCCCTGGGCAAGCTTGTCATCCCGAGCAGGTTTCCCAGAAGACTGGCGTGTGCGAAATAAACGGCCGTCCGCGCACGAGATGATATGTTGACCAAGGGGACAGGAGCGCGACGCGTTTCTCCGAAAAGTCCGCAGGGCCACGATTGTCCGCGCTGTCAGCGACGCCGCGCGAGTGTGAAAAGCGCAAGGGGGTGGATGTATAGCTCGGCGGCTAAATCCTGCGCGGCCGTTTTTAACGCACGCCCCGGCAGGGCTTCGCTAGAGGGAGGTTTAAAATAACCACACAAGAGTCCTACAGGGGTGACAAGCCGCCCAGGACAGGCCCACTTATATCGTCAACGGCGATAGATGGACGTACGCGTACATGAATCCACGTTGGTTTCGAGAGTGCGCATTGCGCGAACCTTCGTATCACGCGCCTGTTCCCGCGGATTGGGGAGCCGTGCTCACGTGCGTGGGTGGGCGCGTACGTATTTGGGGGGCTCCCCAGATCGTTTGGTTCGGCAGCCGCTTCGCCTGGGACTATTTCACCGCTTTTGCCAGGGACCGTGTTCCTGCCTCAATGGCGGCTGTTCATGCTTGGTCGGACGACCAGAATACCGGTGGGTAAAACAATGAACTCCAGTGCGCCTGACCGTGTTTTCATTCGCTATCAGGGTGCGTTGTTGGGGTATTGGTGTTTTCTTACGCTTTTGCTTGCGAGAGTTGAATCTGGTGCGCAAGCGTTGCTCTAGCTAGGTCACCTACATGGTGTCGGAGTCGGTCGGGTCGGGATTCGCGCCATATTCCGATGCATCGCCGATGCGGCTCGATGTGGAGCCCGATTTGCATCACGTCGACGTATTCGGTGCATCACCGACGTCGACGATGCGTCGCCGGTGCATCGCCGATACTTCGCCGATGCATCGCCGATGTATCGGCGATGCGGCGCGATTCCCCTACCCCATCTAGTCCGACCCTGTTGGGCGATTTTGGACGCCTTTGGGGCCGTCAGGGGGCCCTCTTGGACCGTTTCGGGGCCCTCTTGGGCCGTCTTTGGGCCCTTTTGGGCCCTCTTGGGTCTCTCTTGGAAGGCTTTTTGGCAGTCTCGGGGCGATTATTTGGGGCCTCTTGGGCCGTCTTTGAGCGTCGGGGAGCCGAACGAATGAGAACGCCAAAATCCTTCAACAACCAAAAGGAAATCTATGGTTTTTGCCTCCTCGGGCCCTCTTGAGACGCTTCTTCGAGGCCTCGTTGGGCGTTTTGGGGGCGTCTGCGGCCGTCTGGAGGCTATTTTGGGCGTCTTGGACCGATCGGTCGGCGACTCGGAGCCTTTCTTGGACCGTCTGTAGGAGCGCTCTGGGGCGCCTGAGAGCCGCGCCCAGAAGGAAACAGCATCTCTGGGTCGGACCGCCCAGGGTATTTTTCGTCCAGGGACCTCCAGGAACCGCCCCCCCGCGCGCGAAATAGATTACTGCTTACCAGTAGCCGGAGATCTTAGCACGCCTCTGGCCCGCTGGGCCGGCGAATTTAGACAACTGAAGCGGTAGACAAGCGAACATGGTCTCCTTTTTGTTCAGCTGCTTTTCTCGTGCGTTGTCAGGTTCTTCCCTGGAGCCTTTAGGGAGCTCGAAGAAGACGCAGCTACATGGACACTAGCTTTCGAAGGTTCGCGCGGATGTTTCGGATCGGCGCCGCCATGCGTCGGAGGAGCGAAAGACTCGAATACGCTGGAATTCGGGTTAGCCGACGTCTTTTTGACGAGCGCGTCTTGGATTTTGACGGTTCTGTTTTCGTGGGATGTTTGCAGAGGGAGGTCGCGTCAAAGTTCAGACCTGGCCTTGTCATTTTCATGATGGCCCCATCAGGCAAACCCGAGTCCCCCGTACCTGAATATCAAGTATCCCCGAATATTGAAATTTCCGAAGACGAAGACGTCACGTCACGCGATGTTGCCGCCGGGGCAACCAGCTGCGTGAGCTCGCGAGATGATTCGCTCCCCCCCTTGTACTACGCCCCTTTCTATTCCGACCCGACAGGTCGGGGGGGGCGGGAAGGCGAAGGAGGAGGAGGAGGAGGAAGAGGAGGAGGAGCACGATGAGGACGAGGAGGAGGAGGAGGAGGAGGAGGAGGAGGAGGAGAAGCACGGGGAGGAGGAGGAGGAGCACTGGGAGGAGGAGGACGAGGAGGGGGACGAGGAGGAGGAGGGAGGAGGAGGAGGAGGAGGAGGAGGAGGAGGAGGAGGAGGAGGAGGAGGGGGAGGAGGAGGAGGAGGAGGAGGAGGGGAGGAGGAGAAGGAGAAGGAGAGGACGAGTTGGAGGAGGAGGAGGAGGAGGAGGAGGAGGAGGAGGAGGAGGACGGGGAGGAGGAGGAGGAGGAGGAGGAGGAGGAGGAGGAGGAGGAGGAGGAGGAGGAGGAGGAGGAGGAGGAGGAGGGAGGAGGAGGAGGAGGAGGAGGAGGAGGAGGAGGAGGAGTGGAGGAGGAGGAGGAGGAGGAGGAGGGGAGGAGGAGGAGGGGGAGGAGGAGGAGGAGGAGGGGGAGGATCACGTGGAGCATCGCAGAAGACGCAACTACGGAAGCGTCAGCTGCTGAGGGCCCGCGCGGCTTTCTCGGATCTGCGCTCTGGGCCCCCCCCTCTCCCTGGCGTCGCCCCGTGCGCCGCTCCTGGCGCGCGGAGGAGCGCGCCGAGGGGGGTGGGCCCCGCGCCGACCCACGAAATCCGCGCGGACCTGCGAGAGGTTACGGTGGGCTCGTGCCGCGTCGACCGGCGGCGACCCCGCCCGCGGCCTTCAGTTTTGAACGCCGCGGGCGACTCAGAATCGTTCGATGCGGAGCGATTTGGACGTTTCGGAAACGGCCGATCGTTCAAGGTTGAACGTTCCCCGCGGTGTCAGAAGCCAACGCCGAAGTCGGCACGGCACGAACCTGACGTACCCGTCGGTCGTTAGAAGCAGGTACTTTGGAACGCCCGAAGCCTAGACTGTTTTTGGGCTTCCAGGCGCCTTCCTACTTCAAGAGTCGACCGGCTGTCCCTCTTCCCTCGGGGGTGGGCAGAGGCTCAATGTACTTCCAGCGCCTTCTCTACTTCATGGTTGTACCTAGTTCTTCCGACAAACGAGTCTGCTTATTTGTAGATCGGCGGTGAGCGAAGGGGGGAAGTGAGCAGGAGAAGGCTTTCGCAGAAGATTTTGAAGTGGCCTTCTCAGAAGTTTTCTAAGCCTTCTCCGAATACGCAAAAAACTTCTCAGAAGGCGCGAGGGATTCTGAGAAGTCCCGCCGCCTTCTGAGAAGGCCTTCTCCTCACATCCCCGCCGAGTAGTGTTGTTCTTCCTCCAGTGACAACGACGACGCCAGGCGGCGGCGCCGGTGACGACGGCGACAACCGACGATGCCGCCAACGACGACGAATGGTGGCGACGACGACGATGGGCAGCAGAGAGCGGCGCCGACGACGACGACGACGAGGACGACGAGAAGGACGACGAGGACGAGGACAACGCCGACGACGACGCCGACGGCGCTGACCCACGAAATCCGCGCGGACCTTCGAGAGTTTACGTCTTTGTAGGTTCCCTTCCTCGCTTTCTTGAAGGAGCTACCCTAAGATCCTGGCGTGGCAATTTTTTCACACTGGTCGTTTTCGCTCGATTTTGGGCCCCAGGACTTTCACAGATCGATCTGTCTCGGAAAATGACGCAGAAACATGTGGTCCAGGGCGCCGGCGGTGATTTTTCGCGAGGCTGCAGTGTATTGGTAACGTCGGATTTCAGGGGAGCGAGATCCAGCGGTTTCGTGGTACCGCTTTCGGCCTCTGGGGTTCGTTCCCTTGGACGGGGGGCCGTCGGCGGAGCAGCTCGGGCCGCGAAGAAAAGCCGATCCTGGAGTAGAGCCCTCTGGGCGGGTGGTAACTCGTGGGTGGGAGACCTCAGGGGGGGGGGTGAGCAGGAGGGCCCTCAGGGGCCCTCTGTGGAGCCACAGGGGCGCTCTCAAGGGCCCCTTCGGGGGCCCTTGTCTTCACTCTCATCGAGGTCGCCCCCACAGTTGTTAACACCCGCCCGATCCCTGGGGGAACGAACGGCCCGCTTCTCCCTCGCGCAGCCTCCCCCGCCAATGCTGCGCGTCGTACAAAGACCTTGGCATCGCTCGGACGTGTGCATGTTTCCTTCGGCGAGGACCATTGAGGAGCATCTTTGCTCATTTGGCGAACAAGCCACGCGCGAAACCGACAAAAAGCACAGGGTATGGACGTCCGAGCGATGGCGACAGACCACTCCGCCGAGGCGGGACCTGGCCTGCGGGCCCACGGGGCCCCCCTCTTGCACCGGCTCCAGCGCGCCTGGACATCTTCAAGCCGGGCCTGCCCCTCTACAGGGGGAATCTTCAAAGATAGTACAAAATTAGTCTTGGGACGATTTTTCCACTATGTTTGGCCATTTTTTGAATTTGTTTGACTATCTGGGAAAAACACACAAAAAACACACACTATGGGAAAAAACAACACAGACTATGTTTGGACATTTTTTGGATCTGTTTGGCTATTTTCTGAATTTGTCGTCGAGATCCGCCTGTAGGAGGGCATGCCCGATCTAGGGGCAGCATCTGCCCCCCCCCCCCCCGCGGCGCCGCGGCCGCCTGGAGCCGCAGCGTGCCCCGCGTGGAGCCCGGCCGTGGGATCGCGCAGGGAGGCCAGGCAGAGGACAGCTACACCAGTGACTGGGCATCGCTCGGACGTGTGCATTCTTCCTTCGGCGAGGAGCATCCTTGATCATTTGGCGGAAAAATCACGCGCGAAACCGAAAAAAGCACGGGGAGTGGACGTCCGAGCGATGGCCAGGAGGAAAAACCAAATCAGTGGATGGTTTTCGCTGAGGAGATCGACCAGGAGCCCGGGAACACCGAAATCGGCCCAGAACCAACCAGGGGCAACGATAGGGGGGGATAGGCATAGGGGGGGATGCATCGACCCCCAATCGCCCATTGATCGCCGATCGGGGCCCGATAGCCCCAACCTACCCAGGAAGATGCGGACTCACTATCAGAGGCCTATCGCCGATCTATCGGCGATGTATCGCCGATTCCAGGTCGATGCATCCCCCCCTAAGCCAGTCCCCCCCTATCGTTGCCCCTCAACCAATAATCTGGAACCCGGGAGCCCAGAACTGGGAGCCCGGGAAGCCAATTTGCTACCAAATCGGCGGAAGGCCTTCGCCAAATCTTTCCAACTTCCGCTAGGACCTCTTCGGTGGAAGCATTGATTGGGGAACATCGGGTGAGGATACATCGAGAATCTCTGAGATCCGTCGGTTCGGGCGCCGCAGCCTTCTCAGAGCGTTCTAGAACGCTCTGAGAATGGCTTCGTACAGGTGGAACATTCAAGAATAGTAAAGATGGTCAGGTGACGTTCTGTCGTGCTCGCATAATCATGCAACAGGTATTTGTTGAATGTCTCTTATCTTTCTTCCAAAACGCGCCTGTGGGAGGACATGCTCGACCTAATCCTAGCCCCGTCCCATCGCTCCAGGCCTCCTGGGGCCGGAGGATCGCGCCGCATCGCTGGTGCATCGCCCATGCATCGGCGATGCGGCTCGATGCGGAGCCCGACGTTCTCCACGCCGACGGCGCCGATGTATCGCCGACGCTGCGGGTGCATCGCCGGTGCATCGGCGATGCATCGCCGATGCACCGGCGATGCGACGCGATCGTCCGATCCCGTCGACTCCGACCCCGCGCAGGAGGCCTCTTCTCCGCGCGTCCGCGGGGACCGCACCTCTCGGCACCCGGTCTGCGAGGGCGCGTCGGCCACGCGCAGGGGAGGTGCCCGCGCCTCGAGGCAGCCAGGGGAGCGCGGCCTCTGGCCGGGGCAGGGGCGCCCCCGGGGGGGAGAGTGAAGTCAGGCATGTCCCTCTGCAGGAGGAATATTCAAGAATAGTAGAAATTATCCCGGCAAAGCAACCTAACAGCGATGTGTAGAAGCATATCTGAAAGCATTCCCCTTCAGATTCAGATGAAAATCAAAATGTAGAATTCTGCTGTTCTCGCAGTCGTAGTCGCATTCGCGATGACAGTCGCAGCGGCAACGGCAGTCGCAGTCACAGCCTCAACTTCAGCCTGCCTCAGCCTCAGCCTCAGCCTGCCTCAGCCTCAGCCTGCCTCAGCCTCAGCCTCAGCCTGCTTCAGCCTCAGCCTCAGTCTGCCTTCAGCCTCGGCCTCAGCCTCAGCCTGCCTCAGCCTCAGCCTGCATCAGCCTCAGCCTCAGCCTCAGCCTGCCTCAGCATCAGCCTGCTTCAGCCTCAGCCTCAGCCTGCCTCAGCCTCAGCCTCAGTCTGCTTCAGCCTCAGCCTCAGTCTGCCTTCAGCCTCGGCCTCAGCCTCAGCCTGCCTCAGCCTCAGCCTGCCTCGGCCGCAGCATCAGCCTGCCTCAGCATTCAAAATGTGGCCCAGGAATGGAGTTCTGGGAACTAGAAGAACACGAAGTGGCCTACAGTTGGCTCCGGGCATTCAAAATGTGCCCAGGAATGGAGTTCTGGGAACTTGAAGAGCACGAAGTGGCCTACAGTTGGCTCCGGGCATCCAAAATGTGGCCCGGGAATGGAGTTCTGGGAACTCGAAGAGCACGAAGTGGCCTACAGTTGGCTCCGGGCATCCAAAATGTGGCCCGGGAATGGAGTTCTGGGAAGTCGAAGAGCACGAAGTGGCCTACAGTTGGCTCCGGGCATTCAGAATGTGGCCCGGGAATGGAGTTCTGGGAGGTCGAAGAGCACGAAGTGTGTGACTGTTGGCTTAAAACGACTTCTGCGGCACCCTGTCCGGCACCCGCCCAGACCCCCCTGTGGAGTCATCTGCTGCTCTCTTTTGACACCACTAGAAACCTATCAGAACAAGCTGTTAGGTAAATAGTCAGGGGACGATTTCTGAATATGTTTGGGGGTATTTTGAATTTTTGCTCCTCCAGAAATCCCCCTGTAGGGGGACAGGCCCGACCGAAGGGAAGAGCCGTCGTGCGGGAGGTCCGGGGGGCCCGCCTTGATCAGGCAGTCGCAAACATGGATCAAGGGGGCGCGGATCAGCGACGGGCCCCGTTTCCGTGGGAAATTTCGCGGATGTCCGCCGCCGAGCGAGGCGGCACCGGCCGCACTTTGGGGAGGGCGCCTCCCCCGATCCATGGATTTGGCGACCGCGCGCCAGATCCGTGGATCGCCAATCCACGTTTGCGCGCCTCCGATATTGGCAAAGTCGGGGCGCCTGAGAGCTGGGAAGGCTCGAGGATCGTCGTGGCTCGAGGATCAATGCTTCGAAGCAGAATGGAGCCATAGACATAAACTTTCGGCGCTCCGTGCGGACTTCTTGGATCCGCGCTGGCGCCCCCCGGCGGCGCCCCCGGCGCCGCCCCTGGCGCGTTCCGCGCGCCAGAGAGGGGGGTCCAGCGCAGTTCGAAGAAATTTGCCCAGAGCGCCACAAGTTTATGTTTATTGCGCTTTCTCTTCTTCTAAGGTGCGCAGTTCGTCTTCGGCCAAGAGGAGAGGTACGAGGAGGGGGGAAGGCTTCTTAGAGGCCCCCCCAGCCCCCCTGCTTCTTAGAAGGCACAAGCCGCGTCTATAGATGCAGGGCCGGCGCATTCTAAGTAGCAGCCTCCTTATGCGCGCCGCCAAGCTTGGGCATGGATCCGGGTGAAAGAAGAGCGACACCACCACCGCTGGGGAGAGCTACCTTCGGCGGGGCTAGGACGAGGATAAATCCGCTCCAGAGCGTTCGGAACGCTCTGAGAAGGCCGCGGCGCCCGAGACATCCTCCAGAACCGCCCGATCCCAGAAATTCTCGATTGATCCCCACCCGAATTTATCCTCGTCCTGGCTTCGTGTTACACCTCCACAGGAGGCCCACGATGCCTCCCCGAGCTGGGAATAGGGGATGCCTCGAGCGGCGAGGGGGGGGCACGCCACCAGGAGGTTCCCCTCATGGCTCCTCGCGCTGGTGGTGGTGCCACTTCTCCTTGGCCCTATCGAGCGGTTCGTCGCGCGTGACCTCCCCCCGCTCCGACCACGCCCCGCCGGAGGAATACCTACTGCCGCAAGTGCAAGAAGCACACCACGCACAAGGCGGCCGCCTCCCTCCCCTCCGTCCTCCGACCGTGGAACGACCCGCCTCGGTCGTCGTCGGCGTCGTCGCCGTCATCGGCGTCGTCGTCGTCGTCGTCGTCGGCGCAGCTCTGGCCGCCGATCGTCGTCGTCGCCGCCATTCGTCGTCGTCGTCGTTGTCGTTGTCGTTGGCGGCGTCGTCGGTTGTCTTTTCGTCATCGTCGGTTGTCGTCGTCGTCACCGGCGACGCCACCTGGCGTCGCCGTCGTCATTAGAAGAAGAAAAACATTGCAGATAAGCATCATCCCTCGGAGGTCCGCGCGGATTTCTGGGATCTGCGCTGGCGGCGCCTCCAGAGCCGCCCCTGGTGCGCTCCGCACGCCAGGGAGGGGGGGGGGCCGGGCAGCGCCGATCCAAGTGGTCGTCGGCTTCCCAGTTGCTCAATAGTTTTCAGGATGAGGAGGAGGGGTGTCAACTTGGGGGAGCAGGATGGGGGCGTCAAGCAGAATCTGTCATCCCCCTTCCCCTCTCCGTTTTCCCTTCCCCCATTCATCCTTTCATCTGCCACATTCCCTCATCCCCCCTCCCTCCCTCCTCCTCCCCAGTCCTGAGCCTCCTCCCCCGTGCTCCTCCACCCTGCGTCCACGGCTTTAATGGTCCGAAACCTCGATCATCTTCCTCCCCAGACCCCCGACGCCATGATTGTTTCACAACGTGCATCTCTGGAGGTCTCGACCCATTCCCCATTCCAGCGCCGGCTCGAGAAGTCGACGCGAACCTCCGAAAGTTAATGTAAGTGATCTCTCTTCGCTTCCGTGGAACTGTATTCTATTCAGCATCATTCAACCAATCCCCATCCCCACTTGGACATGGTACAGTGGAGATCCATGCCAAGAAACACCCTGCTTGCCTCCAGGGTGCCCTGAGTTTCTTGGGCTTCGATGGTTTCGCTGTGAAAGGCGTGACGCTCCCACACCAAACATCGACGGACGTCCTGGGGTCTCAGGGTTGGGTTTCTCGTGGAAGTTTCCTTGTGGTCGGGCTCCTGTCGTACAGCTGATGGGACCGCTTTGGTCTCGACGAACCACAGCTGCAGGAGTCTGGGTTTTGTCTCGCAGAGCTTGCCGAGATCCCCGCGTGGTCAAGATTCAGACGAGCAAGAAGGCATGGTAAGTACGGTAGGTTCGCGTCGTGCCGACCAGCGGCGACCGCGCCGCCAGCAATCAACGTTGACCGCCGTTGGCGACCCAGAATCGGTCGATGTTGAAAGATCTGACGTCTCGGCAACGGCCGATCTTTCAAGGTTGAACGATCCCCGCGATGTCAAAAACCAACACCGAAGTCGGCACGGCACGAAAATGCCAGATGTGTTCAAATGTTTCCAAGGCTCCCATGGCTTCTCAGCTGTTCTGTCAGTCCCGCACGGGCTCCAGCAGCGAGCGACGCCAGATGCTCGCAATGCCTGGAACGTATCCTGAGCCGGTCGCATCATGACTTGTGACATTATCCTCGTCCTAGATGCGGTCCACTCCCTCTTCAAAGGAGGAGGAGGAGGAGAAGGAGGAGGAGGAGGAGGAGAAGGAGGAGGACAAGGGGGAGGGGGAGGGGGAGCAGGAGGAGGAGGAGGAGGAGGAGGAGGAGGAGGAGGAGGAGGAGGACCCCCTCCCCCCCCACCACCATAAGTTGGATGGGGGGAAGAAGGAGGAGGAGGAGGAGGAGGAGGAGGAGGAGGAGGAGGAGGAGGAGTTGGAGGAGGAGGAGGAGAAGGACCGTTGTAAATCCAAGAGCCATCAACGATGTTGGAGTACACCCCCCTCCTAGCTCCCTCTTCATGGGTCCCTACAAAGATTCATTTCCATTGAGGGATCTGCCTCGTTGGAAGACCCGGAAGCATGACAAGACATTGTTCTCGGAATTCCAACGCCACGGATCAATTTTATTGTTGCGTCTTCACGATTTTGGATCGTGCCAGAACGCCAATCTTGGGATCTCAACACCGCGAGTCAATGTAATTGTTGCACCCGTTCAATTCTGAATCCTTCCAAAACACAAGTTCTGGTACGTTGATCGTGGGAATCCGTGAAATTTCTGGCCAATTTTATGAACGAATGTGCGCGGCGCTCAGGCGACAGGAACATTCTGAACAGTAACCGCCCTCAATCCGTGAAACTTTTTGCACATGTTTAGAACGAATGTGCGCCGCGCTAAGGGGAGAGCCACATTAAAAAAACACTGCCCTCCATCTGTGAAACTGTTGCAAATGTTTGAGCTTCAGAGTCATACATGGCCCGCCCTAAAAACTAGCCTCGGGGTGCGACAGGGAGAAGTTGCTCATAAGGAAAAGGAGTGGAGGAGGAGAAGGAGGAGGAGGAGGAGGAGGCAGGAGGATATCCTGCGACATCATCCTCATCCTGCTCCTCCTCGTTTCTTCCTCCCTCCCAAGTCGGCCCCCTGGGCCTCCCCTCATGGTGTGCATCCTGACCAGAGCGTCGAGGCGGATCCAGCCGTGGCGGCGGGAAGCGTTCCGGAGCCCCAGAGAAGAGGGCGAAGCGTGCCCAAACCAGGGTTCGAGCTGAAGCTGTTTTGGCGACTCCGTGTGCCGTTCTCGTCCTGATGTCGCTCCGCAGCAGAGGCAGAGCGACGACAGAATACAAAAAAAACGAAGCCAAAGCGAGAGCGAAGGACGCTGCTTGGCTCGAGCCCTGGTCCAGACACCTTCCGAACGTCGACGCTCGAGCGGAGAATGAGGAGGGGCGGACCTCTGGGCCTCCCGGATGGTGTCCGAGCAGATGGGGTCGGAGGGTCGCGCCGCATCGCCGACGCATCGGCGATGCGGCTCGATGCGGAGCCCGACTTCCTCCGCGCCGACGTCGCCGGTGCATCGCCGACGCTGCCGCTGCATCGCCGGCGCACCGCGGATGCATCGCGGATGCATCGCCGAGGCATCGCCGAGGCATCGGCGATGCGGCGCGATCCTCCGACCCCACCTGCTCCGACCCCAGCCAGGAGGCCTCCGGGACCCGCACCTCGGCCGCCGTGCTCTCTACGCTCGGCACCGGCCCCCGGGTGGGTCGTCTGCGGCGACACTGGCGCGCAAGCTGCTCGCGTAAGGTCGCAGGTAGGCACCCTCGCCTCCATCGAAGGAGAGAAGACGCCATAAACATGCACTGCCGACGCTCGGCGCGGATTTCTCGGATCCGCGCTGGGGCCCCCCGGCGGCGCCTCGGGCGCCGCCCCTGGCGCGCTCCGCGCGCCAGGGAGGCGGGTCCAGCGCAGATCCGAGAAACCTGCGCAGTTTATTGCGTCACATCTTCTTCTGAAAACGGGGTCGTTTGCGCCTACATTGGTGCGTAAGCTGCTCGCGTAAGGTCGCGCGTAAGCGCCCTCGTCTCCAATGCAGCGCGCCGCGCCGGCGGCCCGCGTGAGACACCGTGCCAGGTCGCCACGCCCTCTCGCGCAAGACCCGTCTTGGATCGTCGCTCGTGTCCCACCGTGTCGACCATTCACGGCTCCAGGCCTCTCAGATCGGGTCAAAGCAGCTGGGATCGGAGGACAGGGCCGTCTCGCCGATGCATCGGCGATCCAGCGCGGTCTGCATGATGGGCCTGTTTTCCACCACCACCACCATAAGTTGGAAGGGGGGAAGGAGGAGGAGGAGGAGGAGGAGGAGGATGGGGAGGAGGAGGAGGGGGAGGGGGAGAGGAGGAGGAGGAGGAGGAGGAGGAGGAGGAGGAGGAGGAGGAGGAGGAGAGGAGGAGGAGGATGAGAACGAGGAGGAGGAGGAGGGGGAGGGGGAGGAGGAGGGGGAGGAGGAGGAGGAGGAGGAGGAGGAGGAGGAGGAGGAGGAGGAGGAGGAGGAGGAGGAGGAGGAGGGGGAGGAGGAGGAGAGGAGGAGGGAGGAGGAGGAGGAGGGAGGAGGAGAGCGAGGAGGAGGAGGAGGAGGAGGAAGGAGGAGGAGGAGGAGGAGAGAAGGAGGAGGAGGAAGGAGGAGGAGGAGGAGGAGGAGGAGGAGGAGGAGGAGGAGGAGGAGGAGGAGGAGGAGGAGGAGAGGAGGAGGAGGAGGAGGAGGAGGAGGAGGAGGAGGAGGAGGAGGAGGAGGAGGAGGAGGAGGAGGAGGAGGAGGAGGAGGAGGAGGAGGAGGCGGAGGAGGAGGAGGAGGAGGAGGAGGAGGACCCCCTCCCCCTCCACATCATGGCGGTGGTGGTGGAAAACAGGCCCATCACTGGAGCACGATTTCTCCTTCTCCCGACATCGCCGATGCGCCGCCGATGCACCGGCGACGCAGTGCCATCCACCGACCCTATCCATGTTGGCCCATTTTTGGGGGGGTCCAGAAGCGGCCTGGCCTTTGCGGATCGAAGGAGTTGCCACCTCTTCCTCTGCGGAAGACGGCGGAAGCAGAACGAGGCCGCATCCGCCAGCGGAAGCTGGCGGACGTCACAAAGGCGCCCCCAAGACATGACAACGCTTTGGGGTTCAGGGTGTCCGGAATCGGCTCAAATGTGAGGCCTCCAGCGACGCCAGGAGGCTTTGGCCCTCCTGCTGCTTCCCCCCCCCTCCAGCCGTGGGAGGTCTCGCAGTACAAGACCGGCAAGGCCTCCCTGAGCGCCCAGGGCAAGCGGCGTTACGACAAGAAGCAGGCCGGCTTCGGCGGTCAGACGAAGCCGGTGTTCCACAAGAAGGACTCCCTGCGCTTCGTCATGGAAGGAGGGTGAAGTCGGGCATGTCCCTCCCTACAGGAGGAAGGAAGACGTAGCACCCCGCAGATGCGGATAAGAGTGAGGGGGCGGTGGGGACGTCGGCAGTTTGCGAGACTCTGGAGAAGCCCGCCGCAGGCACCAAAGTTTCACAAATTATACAACGAGCCCGCCGCAGGCGCCGATTTTTCCGTTAAACCAATGTGGGTAGGTCGCGGGGTGGGTCGCGGGTGGGTCGCGGGTGTAGAAGGCAGAAATTCACCTCATAATAATCACCCCGACAAGCGAAGTAAACGCACACAAGGAATGAATCGAACGGGGCAAGGCTGTTTAGTAAACGCCCAGGGCCGTTGAGTCAACGTCAATTGTCGGGTCCGGGTGGTTTTTCCTCGTGGGTCGCGGGGTGGGTCGCGGGTGGGTCGCGGGTGGGTCGCGGATGGGTCGCAGATGGGTCGCGGGTGGGTCGCGGGTGGGTCGCGGGGTGGATCACGGGTGGGTCGCGGGGTGGGTCGCGGGTGGGTCGCGGGTTGGGTCGCGGGTGGGTCGCGGGTTGAGTCGCGCGGTGGGTCGCGGGTTGGTCGACAACAGCAACAACAACAGCATTAACAACAGTAACAACAACATCACCAACAACAGCAGCAGCATCAGCAACAACAACAACAGCAGCAGCAACAACAACGCAACAAGCAGAATTCCCACCACGAACTCCCAATTCAGCCACGCACCCAGGGACAATGAATGACAGCTCGGCCCCTTAATATTTTTGAATATGTTTGAATGTTGTCCGGGTATTTCCTATTTTTCGTCCAAAATCCGCCTGTAGGTCCCCGAAGACACAGAAAATTTCTCAGAAGGCCGGAGGGCTTCTGAGAAGCCCCGCGCCTTCTGAGAAGGTCTTCTCCTTCTCATTTCCCCCCTCGCTCGCCGCCAACACAAGACCGATCTGGGGAAGGGTCGAAATTTTCGAGGGTCCAGGGTGTGAGCAGATTTCGACGCAGGGTGTCAGGAGTGGCTGGAGGAGAGGGAAGCGGAGGTGGAGGAGGAGGAGAACCACATGAAGGGGATGTCCTTGATTCTTGAATGGGTCGTGTCGGGCGTCTCGTGGCCAGGAGGACGTGAAGCGTTGAGGGCGAGAAGAACAAGAAAGAGGGGCAGGGGGGGGCGTGGCGACGAGAGCGTCCCAGGACGCCACAAACTCATGCCTTGATCCCAGGACGACTGCCCGGATTCAGAGGAGAGTGGGACGGGGAGCAGCGTCAGCGTCCCCTGACGGGGGACCCCGCAGACAGGGAGCCTTGCGACCGTGCGGCAGTGCCCGCAAGAGGCAGAGGCTCGAAGGTGGCACCAGCGGGCCAGCGAACCCAGCCTTTCGGTAGCGAGCGAGCGAGCGATCGAGGGGGAGGAAGGGGGTGAAGCGGCGGAGGAGGAGGAAGGAGGAGGAGGAGGAGGAGGAGGAGGAGGAGGAGGAGGAGGAGGGGGGAATGAGGGAAGAGCAAGGAACTGGACGAGGTTTTGAGACGTTCTGGACTGTTCCTGTGAAGGCCTCCGGGGGAGCCTCTGGAGACCTCCTGGGGGGGCCTTTGGAGACGCAGATTCCGACACGTTTTAACTGGTTCGATCCCGACGCTCTTGTTGTCCGGGGGCTGGAAGTTCGACCTGCTCCCCTCGGCCGTACCAAGGCACGCCGAGCACCGGCTCGCCTCAGCACGCCTTTGCGCGCAGCACCCCGCAGCTGCGGACACGGCGAGAGGAGGGAGGGCCAGGAGGGCGAGAGGAGGGGGAGCGGGCAGCGGGGCTGCGACCAGGCGCTTTTCTTCAAGTAGTCCTCCTTCCTCCCAGGAGCGCCCTCCAGCGTCGCCGCCCCTGCCCTGGCCACGCACCCACAGAGGCCACGTGAGACCGTTCAGGCCCCACGCGCTCTGACTTCTGATCCTCTTCCTCCTTCTCCTCTGCCTCCTCCTCCTACTCCTACTCCTCCTCCTCCTCCTCCTCCCCCTCCTCCCTCGGGGGGAGGGCTCGCGGAGGTTGAGGGCGCCAGGAACGAGCATAATTTAGCAAGGCGCCAGCAGCAGCGGGAGGAAGTGGATAGAGTGCGAAGCTCGCGGTTCTCATCCGACGCCCTCATGACCACCTCGGCAACTCCACGACGCCCCGAAACACGTCCAAGAAGCAAACGCAGCACCCTTTGCTCACTTTACTTCCCCCGCTTTCCACTTGTCCCGAAGGCGAAGACCACCAAGAAGATCGTGCTCAAGTTTGAGTGCACCAAGTGCAAGGCCAAGCGCATGAAGCCGATCAAGCGCACGAAGCACTTCGAGCTGGGCACCGACTCCAAGAAGGGCAAGGAGCCCCATGCCTGAACTTTTTCTCGTCTACCCCTTCTATGGAAGGCTGAGGACCTTGCAAGATTCTCGCATCCTTGTGACAAGAGCGAGAATGAGAGACAGCTCGGCAGGGGACTTCACAGAAAATGGTTTTGAGTTACCGTCGACGTGTCATCTTTGTGCCCTACCTGATCGGGGTCATTGGTCGCGAAAGTCATCCACACTGAACTGCTACATTCCTCAAGACAGAACGGACTACAACTGAACCAGGTTAATCCGATCCTCACGATCCGATCGCCCTTGCTCCCGCGCCGTGGTGCTCGCCGTTGGAAGCGGAAGCGCGGCTCGTGCCATCGGGCGGGTGCCCTCGGTTATGACGTGGTGACCCTCGAGAGGCCGAATTCCCGAAGCGATGATGCTGCAGAACTCCACCGCGTTGGTGAGAGTGCCCTGCAAGATGCCATCCACCTGCGTGAGCCCTTGGGTGTTGAGGCGAGATCGCGCTGGAGGCAGCAGAGGGACGCGAGTGTTTGTTCCGGAGTGGTTCAGCGACCACATCGCGGGTCGTGAACATGCGTGCGAAATCAATTTTGTCCTTGCCATGGCCAGCACCGTGTAGGTTGACAGATGCGAGATGCGATTGCCCGCTTGCCAGTTGCTTGCTTTTTGGAAGCCGACGGATTTGAATCAACCCTAGCAGCTCTCGTTGTAGCTCAGCGTGTTGTGCCAACGTGGTGAAGGAAGAACAGAAGGGCAGACAGGCCCGGGCAAGGGAGTGACGGAGGAGGAGGAGGAGGAGGAGGAGGAGGTGGAGGAGGAGAGGAAGAGGAGGGGAGGAGTAGGAGGAGAGGAGGAGGAGGGGGAGGAGGAGGAGGAGGAGGAGGAGGAGAACGTCGAGGAGGAGACGGAGGAGGCCAGCTTGCGCCGTATGACTGGCGCTGCACTGCCCGACTCCCTCCCGGGCTGCTCCGCAGCAGCGCCTCACGGGGCAGGGGCCCGCTTCGCGCAGCGGCGGCTGGCTCGAGGAACGGCCATCCGGTGACTCGGTGACCCCGAATCCCCACCGACTCACCGCACGGTCTGTCACCGCACCGTTTCGGGACTCCACAGCCGTGCCTGGGTCAGGGACCAAAGGCTTTTTTACGGGGCCATACGCGAACCCTACCCCCCTACCTCCCGCGATTTCTGAGGGGGGGAGGGTGAGCTTCACCTCGCTCGGGAGCTCCCGAGCGAAGGAGACCCCACCCTCCCCCTCAGAAATCGTGGGGGTCAGGGGTACAGTCGGGGCGCTGAAGAAGGAACCCTTTTCGTTTGGGAGGGGCTCCGTGTTCCTTAGTTGGTTTACAGTGCTCCTTGAGTTTAACTTATGGGCAAAAGGGGCCTCGTTCCTTATTTAGGGTCCCTTGGGTCAACGTCCCGAACTGTAGGGTTCGCATCTGGCCCCTCATTTTTGTTGAGACTTCTTGGGGGTTCGTGGGAAGCCCCTGGGGGGCACACTGGAGGGGGGCCGCCTCGGAGCGTCTTGTGAGGCCCGTAGGGGGCCTCGCTGGGGCCTGCCTGCTGCATGGGGGGGCCATCGTTGGGGGAGAGGCTTACGTCGAGCCTGTCCCCCTTACGGGAGGCATGTTCAGAAATAGACAAAAAATAGTCTGGGAACGATTTTTGAGTATATTTTGTTGGTTGACGTTTTGTGCATATTTTGTTGTTTGGCAATGTTTCAGTTTCCCTCCAACGTCCGCCTGTAGGAGGACATGCCCGACCCAAGGAAAGGCTCGACATGTCAATTCGGATTTCGCATCTTGCGCCTCTTTCGGGACCCTCTTGGGGGCATCTTGGGCCGTCGTCTTGAAGGCCTCTCGGGGGCCCTTGTGGCATCCCTGGAAGCCTCTTGGGCCGTCTTGGAGCATCAGGAGCCCGACAAGGCGAGAACGACAGCATCATCCGCAAACCACATCATCATGTTTTGCTTCTTGGTACCCTTGGGTGTCGTCTTTGAGCCCTCCTGGGGCGTCTTAGGGTCCTTGGGCGGTCTTGAGTCTGTTTTGGGCGTCATCGAACGCTTTCGGGTCCGTCTCGAGGCCGTCCTGGCCCGTCTTGGAAATCTCTTGGGACCCTCTTGGCCCGTCTTGGCGCTCTCTGGACTCTGGGAGAGTCACGCGACAACACGAGAGGAGCCTCCGTGAATCCAGCACTTGAGACTGTGGTCTCCTTCTCTCTCTCTCAAGGGTATTACAGGTTCGAATGCAGAGGACTCTTAGACCAAGGAACTTGAGGACGCTCCACTCAGCGCCTCGCGGCACAGCTGCGAATGTTTAAGACGGAGGAGGTCGGACGAGGGAGGGGGCAGGAGGGGGAGCGGGGGAGGACGCGGCAGCACAGCACGATGGAGCACGGCGCACAGGCGTGCAGGATGAAAGGGGGACGGATCGGAGGGGAGCAGGCCCCGTGGAGGAGGCCCCGGGAGAACGTGGGAAGCCCAGAAGGGTCAGGAGGGGAAAAAACACACAGACACAATTAATCGTCGACTCCCAGGAAAATATGGGAAAATATGGGAAGTGGGGGGGAAGACAAAAACCCAGAAAATATAGGAAAATATGGGGAATCCTGTTATTTGTGTGTATTTATTTGTGTGTCCTGGGGCCCCTTCAAAGGGGACCGCGAGAGGGAGTGCGGCGAGAGGGAGGCCACGGGTCGCTGCCGGTCGCAGGGCGGAGGAGGTCGGCGAGGAGGGCGGTCGGAGGAGGGCGGGGGGCGGCAGGAGGAGGCCGGAGGGCAGCCGGGCCCTGCGCCGGAGAGGGCCGAGGGGAGGACAGCGGAGGGAGGGGGAGGGAGGGGGAGGGAGAGGAGGAGGAGGAGGAGGAGGGGGAGGGGGAGGAGGGGGAGGAGGAGGAGGAGGAGGAGGAGGAGGAGGAGGAGGCCGAGAGCGGAGGGGCACGGTGGAGGGTGGAGCAAGGGCGCCCGCGAGGGAGCGAGGTTTTGTTTTTTTTCGCAGCGCGGCTCAGCTTCGATGCTTCCTCGTCCTCCTCGTCTCCCCTGAGGGGGGGCGCCCTCGAGGGCACGGAGTTCTTCGCGCTTCGCGCAGCGCGGTTCGGCTCCGATGCCTCCTCGTCCTCCTCTTCTCCCCTGGGGGGGGGCGCCCTCGAGGGCGCGAAGCTTTTCTGCGCAGCGCGGCTCGGCTCCGAAGCCTCCTCGTCCTCCTCGTCTCCCCTGAGGGGGGGAGCCCTCGAGGGCGCGAAGTTCTTCGCGCAGCGCGGAGCGCGAAGTTCGGCGCCCTTGTGGAAAAACAGTACACGGACAAAATACGGAGAGGCCCATCACCCGAAGCCGAAAAAAGTTCATACACCATTAACTTCCGGGACTCCGCACGGATTTCGTCGATCTGCGATGGACCCCCCTGGAGGCGCTTCCGGCGCCGCCCCTAGCGCGCCGTGCGCAGATCCATGAAATTTGCGCGTAGCGCGGAACGTTTATGTTTCTGTCGTTGTTTGTTCCTTTGCTCACCCCCCTGCTTCCGAAATCAGTGGGTGGTGGATTCTGGGGGGTCGGATGTTTCTGTCTACCCGAGCCCCCTCCATGACCGCACCCTGGATCTTGATTGGGGGGGGTCAGGGGGGCCTCTTGCGCCGCGGGGCTCGGACCCACTGCCCCATGCATACGGGAGGTCGGCGGCGGGGTCCGAGAGGAGGGCGGGGCTTGCGGGAGGTGCGGGCAGCGGCCGATCGTCTCTTGGCTTGCCCATGCGCCCGCCGGACGATGCTCCCGCGAAGTACCGGAACCCTCCGAAGGATTGCAAAAAAACCCAGGATTGCAAAAAGGATTGCAAAAAAAAACCGGCAATGCAAAAAGGATTGCAAAAAGGATTGCAAAGGGTTTTTTTGCAATGCTTCGGCAGCCGCCGTGGTTCCGCACGCAGGCTCGATGCCACCCTCAGACCACCGCCGCTGTCACGAAAAAAAAAACCGCGCTGGCTCCGAGAGCAGGTCGTGGCAGGCCTGTATACAGGAATGCCGGGACGGCGGGCCCCTGCTCGAGCCGGGGCTCACGCAGCGGGGCTCCGCCAGCTCCCCTCGGCGGGCCCGGGCGCCGGGGGCCGCGCGGGGCCGAGCCCCCGCACTGGGCGCCCCTCCGCGGCCTGGGCCTCGGCGGGCCCAGGTCTGCTCCCGGCCACTCGGCGGGCGCGCCATGCCCGCGCGCGGGCCTCCGGGCTCCCGGGAGGCATGGGGCGGCCCGCCGGGCTTCGCGGCAGGGCCCCGGGGGGGGGGCCCGGGTCTGTGCCGACCCCGGCGGCCTGGTGCGCCCCCCGATGGAGAGGCGGAGGGTCACCACCCACCGGGCCACCCCGGCCCGACCCGAAGGCCCAGAGTGTTGCCCCGCAGTCTCGGTGGGGGGGCGCTTCTGGGAACACTGAGTCACCGGAGGTTGACAGACCTCCTAATTACCCTGACACGTCGATGAGCGAGTTGGCCGCCTCCGGCTCGCGAGAGGGCGCCGCGGCCGTCATTTCTTGCGGGTCCAGGTCCGTCGGCTTCGGTCCTGGGCCGTTTTCACGACAGGGTGGTTTACGAAAGGGAAGTCTGTCCACCGCCGCAGTAAACGCACATGTGGAGTCCTTTACCCCCCCCCAAAAGAAAAACGAAATTTGGGCCTTCGGAAACAGGGGGAGAGAGAGAGAGGGCCGAGGAACGCAGGCGAAACGGGAGAGGCGTGATGTGTTGTGTTCCTTCTTGCGGGTGCGCTCCTGCGCTTCCGTGGCGCATGTGTTGATCGAGGACTCGAGCGACTGATCTCAAGCAGTGGCGAAGCGTCCTGGCTCTGGCTCGCCTGTTGGCCTACCAAGCAATGTTCTAAGAACCTTTTGTGATTTCCACGAAATGTTCTCAGACAATTTCTGGCTGAGACTGTCTTGTTTTGGGACATCGGGCTCATGTTCTAAGAACATTGTTTCTGTACTATTAGAACATTGCTGGGTTCTAAGAACACGTCGTGGTAGGCCTATAGGAATGCCGGGGCGGTCGGTCCCTGCCCAATGATCAGGAGTTCTGGAATCGGCGGCGAGCAAGGGGGGGCAGTGGGGAGGAGGAGGCCTTCCTCAGGAGGCGGGGGGGCCTCTCGGAAGGCCTCTTCGGCCTGTGAGATGTTTTTTGTTCTCTGTCTTCGGGGGAGGGCTCATAGAACTGCTCGGAAGGCCTGGGGGACTTCCGAGCCGTCCTAGAAGGCCGAGCCTTCTCAGAAGGCCTCCTCCTCCTCCTCCTCCTCCTCCTCCTCCTCCTCCTCCTCCTCCTCCCTCTCTTCCTCCTCCTCCCCCTCCTCCTCCCCCTCCTCCTCTTCCTCCTCCTCCTCCTCTCGCTTACCCCGCCCCCTCGCTCGCCGCCGAGTAAAGGAGGCGGCATCCGAAGAAGAAGAAAAAGGAGACAAACAAGTGGGGAAGCGATCCCAGCTAGATGCTCATCTTTCCATTCCCCAGGGACCGACCGTTGAGGACGATGATCCTCTAACCCCACTGGCCCCTGTCCCACCCTCTCTACGTCCCCTCGAACTGAGGAGGGAGAGGGAGAGCGAGTGAGGAAGGGACGAGGAGAGCAGGCGGAGGGAGAGGTGGAGGCGCAGGGTCACCGTCGGGTATAGCCAGGGCCCCGGACAAGGGGACCTGGTCAGTGATTGGGCCCCGATTCTCCAGAAATATACAAGAATCGCTAAACCAGGTCTGCCGTAGCCTGTGTTTTTCGGGTGACGGCAGCTCCGGTCAGTACAGTGGGGACGGGGGAGGCGTCCCCGAGCCCACATCATTAAGCCAGATCCCACCAAGCCGAGCCACGCCAATGCCCGACACAGGAGGAGGGGGGGGACGGGCGCCGGCGGGGGGGTGGGGGGAGCAAGGAGGGAAGGTTGAGGCGGCACGAGGGACGGGTGAATCAGGCGATCGCAAACATGGATCAAGGGGGCGTGGATTAGCGACGGGCCCCGCTTCCATAGGAAATCCCGGATTTCCGCCGCCGAGCGAGGCGGCACCAGCCGCATTTCGGGGAGGGCACCTCCCCAGATCCATGGATTTGTCGACCGCGCGCCAAATCCATGGATCGCTAATCCATGTTGGCGTGCCCCCGAGTGAAGGCTGGGCCCATGTCGATCCAACCAGTCGGACTCGATGGCAGCCAAGACGCTGACACTAGGAGCGGTCCAGGTGCGGAAGGGGCTTGCTGCTCCTGAGCCGAGGTAGGGCTTTAGTTTTGAGGACCCCCCCCGTTGCCCCTTCTGGGAGTAAACTCCTGCGCCCCTCCTCCCCTCCTCCCTCCTCCTCCTCCTCCTCCTCCTCCTCCTCCTCCTCCTCCTCCTCCTCCTCCTCCTCCTCCTCCTCCTCCTCCTCCTCCTCCCCATCCTCCTCCTCATCCTCCTCCTCCTCCTCCTCCTCCTCCTCCTCCTCACCCCATCCTCGTCTGTCGCTGTGGCGCGGCGGGTAGGACCACTGCTCGCCAACAGCGACGTCGAAAGGATCATGAGTTTCCACAACAGTCAGCCCGGATTAGTAGGTCGACCCTGCCAAATCAAGGGTGCCTTTGTGTCCTGTGTCTCGCGAACCGTGTTTCCTGCATTCCTGTGGCAATGTGGCCCTCGGAAGGATCTTGTGTCCTCTCGCGTGTCCTGTCCAATCAAGGCCGACTGTACAGAGTTTCCACTCTACTGGGGGTGGTTCAGAAGGCCTGCCTCGGCTGGGTCCTTCCGCGGTGGTTCCTCTAGCGCTCCTCGGGCACCGAGTCGCTTTTGTGGTTAAGTCGGGCCTGTCCCTCTACAGGAGGAATATTCAAAACTAGCAAAAAAATAGTCTGGGGACGAGCCTCTTAGCATGTTTTGACAATTTGGGCATATGCTTGGACTATGTTTAATTTTTTGTTCAAAATCCCCCTGTAGGAGGACACGCCCGACCTAATCCTGTGGCCCAAAAGGGGCGTCGTCCTATCCGTATCCATCTTGGCTCAAGGGAATGCCTCGGCCCGAGTGGCGGTAGCGGCGTCGCCGCGGCGGCCAGCGATTGGCGCGCGGCTTGCGTCATGCAGTTCCTCCAAGAGTCTCTGGGCCCCCAGATCTCGCAGCAGCTGCCGGACGGGTCCATGTCTGCCGATGACGCCAAGTACGTCGCGGCGCGGCAGAAGCTGTCAAATGCCATATCGGAGGTGATGGCCCCGAGGCGGGCAAGCGCCAGGACGTGCATGAAGGCCGAAGGTTTGCGGTCAATGGGCGTCTTGGACGAGAAGTTCGACTCAGTGGCAGCGTTAGACGCCATGGACGACATCGTGTGTAAACTCCTGTACGACGTGAAATACCAGGGTGGTCAGATGATCGCCAAACAGAACCCTGGGTGGTGCGAAACTCTCTTCACAAAGAAGGGTCGAGCGCCGCTCGGGGCAATATACTACTTCATGATAGTATGGTCGGCGTGTGTCGTCGCGTTCTTCAGACACCACTTGAATGTTACGCCAGACGTGGTGCTGGAGCCCTGGATCGACATGGGGGAAATCCCGCTGTTGCTAATCTCTGTGGGCCTGATGTTTCTGGTCGTCTTCCGCACGCAGACAACCTACCTGAAGTGGAACCAGGCGAGGGCCGCGTGGACCAAGGTCAACGCGGCGTGCCGGGCGCTCGCGCTCCAGTCCTGCGTCTACCTGAAGGATTTGGACGCCGCCAGCTCGGTCTGCCGATACCTTGTCGTGTTCGTGCTGTCAGTGCGGTTCTGGCTGAGGCAGGAACCCCTCGCCGAGGACCTCGTGAGCAGCCTGCTGACGCCCGAGGGCCTCGCGTACCTCTACGAGCATGCGAAGCCCACCGAGCTGCAGACCCGCATAGAGGGCGACACGAGCATGTCCTTCCACTTCAAGAACATCACCGCCCCCGCTCCCGTGCTGGACGTCCTGCGAGGCATCCTGAGGCACGCCGTCGAGGTTAAGCAAATCGGCCCTTTCCACACCATGATGGAGGGCAACTTCAAGCTGTTGCAGCAAGACCTGCACACGATGGAGAAAGTATTGGACACCCAAATACCGTATGCGTACATCACGCATGTGCGCACTGCCATTTTCGTTTACTGCATGTCGATCCCGTTCTTTCTGGTAAAAGACAACGGGTGGTACACCGTCTTGTTCGTTACGTTTTACTGTTATGTGGTGATTGGGTTGGAGAACCTTGCCGTGGAGATCGAGAACCCTTTCGGCACCGACGCCAACGATTTGCCAATGGATCTCTACTGCTGCCAGATCACGCGAGATATTCGTGACATCTTGAAGCGCCGCCAGGTCCGTACAGCCGAGGCCGGGGACGGAGCCAGGCAACGCGAAGGAAGACCGAAAGATGGTGTGGTAGAAAACGAAGTTGAGATTGACGATGAGGAAGGCGATGACGACGGCGACGATTGAGAGGGACGGCTCTGGTTTCACTTGTTGGTGGCCCTCTCCGCAAAACTGCACTTTGGATTAGGAGCAGGACGAGATGAGTGGCTCGCACGCCGAGGGAAAAAAAGGGCGTCGTTCTTCAAGTTGTGCGTCAGCGCGGTGACTGTGTCGACTGCGGCGAGCCGAGCCCGTTCGAGCCCGATGCGCTTGCGGCCGATCCGCCGCGGCCCGGTGCGGCACGCTCTCGATGCACGGTCAGGTCCAACCCCAGGCAGTCCAGACATCCGATGTCTTGATTTGTTCAGTTCTACAAGCCTCGTCGAATGTCAATTGAAACGCTGTTCAGAATCGAAGCGCTCGACAGTTCGGGCACTTGCCAGAAAGCGGATTCTTCAATGCTGTGAGGGTTCTGCCGGATTTCGGACACCCCTGCGCTTGGGCCGAATACCTCATGCCAGCATTGGAGTAGCGTCCACCGCGCGAGCACCGAAAGCAGCAACCGTCAAACTTATGTTCGACGAGTCTTGTAGGTCCCCGGAAGTCCCGAGCCGTCCCCGGAGGGCAGGTTTTTTTCATCCCATGGCGTTCTGTGGACGGTTCCAGGGCCCAGCGAGTGCCCCCCATTCGGATCACCGCGGAGGGTGCTGACTGGAATTGGGGGTCATCAGTGGACGCTGAGGTGGCTCATATCCGCCCAAACCTGGGTACTAAGTTGGCTACATGTGCCCTAAGAGGCTTGGGCGGGTTCGCTGACCCCGCCAAGCGGGCGGAGCCCGCATGGCCCGCATTCCTCTCACCCTGAGCCGCTGAGGGCGCGCTATGTTGGGCCATCTAAAACTAAGTCGGGCACGTCCCTCTACAGGAGGATTATTCAAGAATAGTCCAGAACAACAGTCTGGGGATGATCTGCCTATCATCATGATCTGACTACTTGTGAATACTTTGAGCTATTACTCACATGTCTCCCCAAATCCGCCTGTCGGGGGACGTGCCCGACCGAAAGCCACCTTAGCATCCACGTGTGGCGCCCCTACCCCCCCCGCGCCCCCCGGGGGAGGAGCGGCTGGCCGCGCCGGTGCCCCGAGAGAGAGGGAGAGCGCGCGGCGCCCTCAGAACGAGTACGGCAGCAAGTACCGGTGAGCGGCCGAGAGGCTCGGGCCGGTCCCGAAGCTGCGGCGGCATCCGCCGCAGGGTGGGGGCGCGGAGAGGAAGAACAGGCGCGCCGCTCGGTCGTCGGCAGCGTGGTCGCTGGTCGTGTCGTCGTTGGGGTCGTCGTCGCGACCGTGGCAAGTCGCTGTCGCCGCTGCCGTCCTGCTGCCGTGGTCGCCGTGATCGCCGCTGCCGTTTGCCGCTGTCGCCGGAGAGGTGCGCGCCGCTCGTTCGGCGGGGCGGGCCCGGCCGGCCCCCCCCCCTTTGCGAGCCGCCAGCTTCCCTGCAGGCCGCCCAGCTTCCCAGGCGGGGGCTGCACACCGGTCGTCGAAAGTAGGTTGAAGTCCGGCGCGGCCCCTCTACAGGGGGAATCTTCCAAAGTAGCGAAAAATTTAATATGGGGACGATCTCCTTTACCATTTTGGAGTATTTGGGGTGTATTTTTGGGGTATTCTTTATTTTTCGTCCGAAATCGGCCTGGCCTGTAGAGGGACAGGCCCGACTGAAAAGTAGGTATTTCTCGATTCCCAGAGCCCAATCTGCTTCGTGTGCCGTCCTACTTCAAGAGTCGATGTGTTCTGGTTGTGTTTGGTGATTCTCTGAGCTGGCCAGAAGCCAATCTACTTCATCCGCCTTCCTACTTCATGTTGCTACCTACTTCTTCTGACCGGTGGCTATCCATCGTCGCAGGAGCGACAGCAACTGCATGAAAACCTTTGGATGTCCGCGCGGATTGCTTGGATCTGCGCTGTAGCCGCACCGAGGTGCAAGTCCGAGGTCGGCTCGGGGAGGGCACCCTGCTGCTCTTCGTGCTTGCTGGACGTCCTCGTGCCTCCTGGGGGAGGGCATATGCCCTCGAAGGGTCTTCAGCCTTGGCGGGTGGAGGGCCTCTCGGGCCGGACGAGGGGGGGGGATAGGGAAAGGGGTCACGGACTCTGCTGCTTGCAGCCGGTTTCCGCCCCGCCGCCGGGCCCATTCCTCGACACATGGGCGCCTCCCGGCGCCGGGACGCGCTGGGAGAATCAGCTGCGTGAGCTGATTCTCTACCCTGCCCTTCGCTATCCCCCCATGTGTTTCCCCCCGAGTCCCGAGTTCCGGAGGGGATGCCCTTCCAGCCCCAGGCTCGACTGCAGAGCCCCCGCGGCGCCACCCCTGGCGCGCGGAGCGCGCCTGGGCGAGCCCGGCGCCGATGCAAGATTCAGGAGTGGAAAAAGCACAGACACAATCCATCGTCGACTCCCAGGAACATGTGGGAAAAGATGGGAAATCTGGGGGGAGGACGAGAAACCCGAAGATATGGGAAGATATGGGGAATCCTGTTATTAGTGTCTATTTTTAGATCGGGCATGTCCCCCCTCAGGAGGATTTTGGACGAAAAAACATACACCAAACATGCTCCCAAATTGTCAGAACGTACCAGAACAATCGTCTCCCGACTATTCTTTTACTATCTTCGGGACGATTCTGGACTATCTTCGACTATGTGTTTGTGCATTTTTGGGGGAATATTTTATCCGCCTGCAGGGGGGACACGCCCGACCCAATCCCAGCTCGACCTCGGGCCATCTCGGAAACACGACGACGGATGCTGCCATTCTCGGCGTCCGGGGGCTTCCTGTCCGGCTCTCTGGGATCGTCAAGCGGCGAAGAGCCAGTGCGGGGGGAATGGGCCGAGACGTCTGGATGGTCGACGTTGTAGAACAACAAAAACATTGCGTCGGGGATCTGCATCGCAGGCGATCTTTCTCCCCCGATCCCCGAGCTCCGCCCGAAAAGTTTGGCCGCTCCGAAAAAAAGGAGGAGCCCTCGGATACATGCGCAGTGGGCTATTCGGACGCACCCCTGTCGAGGATGGACGCGCCCCCATCGTAGATCCCAGGAGTGGGCCCCGAGTTTCTGGTCCACTCGACGGCCCCCACGAAGCCTGGGATAGGGGTCGACATATCTCCTGTTAGAGACTTCTGGATGGTCGACGTCGTGGGAAGCCAAGAACAGCCGACGTTGGGACCCTGCGCTCCCCCGGGCCGTGCAGGGTCAGCTCCTGCCTGTTCCGCTTTGGGACCTTCCCGAGGCCCAGCACGGCCCAGACCACCCAACGGATCTGTTCGACGCTGCTTCGGGTGAAGTTTTCTGCTTCCGACTCAGCTCCAGCTCGACGCCAGTTCGACTCGAGTTCGACTCGAGTCGACGGACGTCCGGCGCGTCGTCGACGCACGAGCAGAGCGAGTGGTTCCAGGAAGGTCCCCGGAGCGAGCATCCGACCCTGCCGAGCCGCTTCCTTCCGCCAGGCCGCCACGATGCCGAGGCGGGGCGTTGTCCATCGCCACCACCTGGGGGCTTGGCCTTCGGAGACCTCGGCAGGCCGTGGACATGCATGTACAGTGGGGACCCATGCCAGGGCACGCCCTGCTTGCCTCCAGGGTGCCCTGGGTCTCTTGGGTTTCGATGGTTTTGCTGTGGAAGGGGTGACGCTCCCACGCCAAGAGGAGGAGAAGGAGGAGGACGAGGACGAGGACGAGGAGGAGGAGGAGGAGGGAGAAGGTAGGAGAGGAGGAGGAGGAAGAGGAGGGGGAGAGGGGGGGGGGGGAGTAGGAGGAGGAGTCGGAGGCGGAGGCGAGGACGAGGACCGAGGAGGAGGAGGAGGAGGAGGAGGAGGAGGAGGGGGGGGAGGAGGAGGGGGGGAGGAGGAGGAGGGGAGGATGGGGAGGGGCGAGTGAGGGGGGGGAGGAGGAAGGAAGGAGTAGTAGGAGGAGGAGGAGGAGGAAGGATGAGGAGGAGGTGGAGAGGAGGAGGAGGGGGAGGAGGAGGATGGGAGGAGGATGAGAAGAAGGAGGAAGAGAGGAAAGGAGAGGAGGAGGAGGAGGAGGAGGATGGAAGAGGGAGGAAGGAGGGGGGGGAGGAGGCAGGAGGGGGGGAGAGGAGGAGGAGGGGAAGAGGAAGGAGGAGGAGGCGGAGGCGTAGGAGGAGGAGGAGGAGGAGGAGGAGGAGGAGGAGAAAGAGGAGGCGGATGCGGAGGCGGAGGAGGAGCCCAGCCGGTGGTGAGGGCGGAGGCGGAGGCGGAGGCGGTCCGCGAGGGTCGACAGCCCAGCCGGTGGTGAGGGCCAGGCTCCCCCGCCTCGCAGAGGGGGCTGGCGGCTCGCGCCGCGCGCTTGTTGCGTCGGCGAGGCGGCTCGACGCGGAACCCGGTGCTCTCCTTGCCAGCGTCGCCGATGTTCGGAAGAGGAAAAGGTACGTTGGGTTTCTTGATAACCGTGGGGTGATGGGCCTGTTATCCACCACCACCAAAAGTCGGAGGAGGAGGGGGTCTTCTCCTCCTCCTCATCCTCCTCCTCCTCCTCCTCCTCCTCCTCTTCGTCCTCCTCCTCCTCCTCCTCCCCGTCCTCCTCCCCCCCTCCAACTTATGGTGGTGGTGGTGGAAAACAAGCCCATCATGGGGGGGTACCCGCCCGACGGGGGCCAACCTCGCCTCGTCGTCGCGCCGCGACGGGGGTCGGAGCGCCTTCGGCGCGCGGTGGCTGCCCGCGACGGGGGTCGATGTGTCGGGGTTGACGCCCACCCCACGCTTATTAAGAAACCCAGAGTACCCATACCCTTCCCTCGTTTTCCCCTGTTTGGGCCTCCTCGGAGGCGTTCGTTGCCACCGCTGGATTCGTCTCGAAATCCTGGTCAGAACGTGCCCCGGGAGAGGTCCGGGGAACAGCGGTATCGGTACCTACTGGTTTCCCCAGATGCGCCATCGATGGATCGCCGATGCATCGGCGATATGCGGCGCGACCTTCCGACCCCATCCTATTTGGAATTCAGGAGATCTCTCTCTCTCTCTCTCTCTAGCTCTCAGATTCGAAAGCCGGGGGGCGGGTGGCGCGGAGCGCGCCAGGGGCGGCGCCTGAGGCGCCGCCAGAGTGGTCCGCGCCGGAGAATCCGCGCGGACCTCAGAGTTTTTATGTTTGTGTCATTCTTAGTTCCCTAGAGGCTCAAATAGGGAGAAAGCAGCACGAAGATGCCTCGGCGAGGCGGCG